TGAAGTCAATTCTCGCTACCTTAAATAGGTACGAAAATCTCGAAATTCGCGAGACGAGGTAATTTTCACTCTCTCGGGTCGTCACTACAACTTCCGGTATAGAGTCCCATCCCAAGTCACGGCCTTCATCCACCCCCATTTTTCAGGGTTCTTACGCTTGGAATCATGAGCCCAGCACTGTGCAGCCTCACAAAAGAAAACCATCGTCACTGATGTCAAAAGACGCAAAAAACAACGAATGAAATGTTCAAATAAACGTTGAAATATTTGCGAAAAAAACACAAGACCGAGCAGACGACATATTCGGTGCATACACGTTGTGTGGCGACGGCGTTTTACGTTTGCGCTATCGCGCGCCTGCACAGGAAGCTGAAATGTCGAAAAGCTATCCAATAATGCAATGCGCGTTTTCAGGATTTTCCCCGGATCTCGGCAGAATCGCTATTTGGGGTAGCGAGAATTGAAATTGCCATAGGTTCATTTTTCGAAAGTCTTGGCAATTGTATTGAATGTATTTCTGTGGTATATGTAAGTTACATATTCGCAGATAAAAATTTAGTTCTTCAGTGTTTTTAGATGTTCATTATTTCAATTCCAATACCATTTTAAAAATAAATTGGCAGTTAAATATTATTGTTTGTACAATGTATTTGTATTGAAAATCTGAAATAAAATTGAATGAAATTGATATTGATTTAACGTTGTCTTTTAGTCAAAATAAGCTCATTTAAATAATATTCATGGGATATATCCAAGTTCTTTGGATATTGCGATAGTGTATACATATTATAGACTGGTGGAAACATATTTCACAATGACACTGATAAAGGTTTCCAAATACTGGTATAATGTATTCAAATAGAAATTATGTAACAATCCCTTATATTCATATGACGATGGGTTACACGACAATCCTATTCATTATTCCTTATTCTTGTCTCGTTCAAACAATCTAGTGAAGGAATTTCTATCTTAATTATGTTTAATTAGCCTGTACACATTTATTTATATACAACCCACTCTTTCTTTTCTCTTTACTTTGTATAGTTATCTGCGACCATTAGAGCACAGCCTTTGAAAGGCCAATGGCCTCTGCTAGCTATTCCATATTATTTGTATTGTTTTATATATTTTCTTATAATGTATATTGTTGAATGTATTTTTTACGAGAATTGGAAATGAAACGAATGAATGAATGAAATCTTGATATGTTCGTAAAATGCATACACACATGTCACAAAACTTTTTTGGTTAAGATCTGGATACATCATATGTAGTTCAAAAACTTAACAACTTTGATTTTTCTTTCGACAAGTTTGTTTTAATTAAAGGTTATGACTTGAAAAATAAAATGTTCAAATGTTTAAATTTTCTTATCATTTATGCAAAATACGCAGTTTATCTAACATTTATGCAAGCAGAAATTCGCAAAATTATGTCTCACGAAGTCTCTATTCTTTGTATTTTCAAAAGATTAATCCATAACCGTTTAAAGATCAAAAAGTATTGTAAGACAAAAAAGGTATGCATGTTTTAAAACACTGTAATTCAAGAAAATGAAACATGTTTTATTTGAATTATGTTAGGATGCTACAATGTTAATTCAATTGATTGTATATGATGGTTTGATTTGTTCAAAAGCATATATTTATCAATAAATGCATTTTACAAAATAAATGGGAAAAAATGGTTCGTTTCTTTTTAATTGATCATTATTACTGCCTGTGGTTTTCACGGGTCCCTTTCAAACTTAGTGTACAAAATCAAACCCGGTTCATCATGATAATAACCACTTTTGATTAATCATGGCTTCGTGAAATTAATTTTTGATTAATGACATGTATATTAGTTTGATAGACTAATCTACATGCGAGGGAGCAAAGCGACCAATATAAATTATCTATTTGAGTGGTTTTTGGTTGTTTTTATTTTATTTATTTGATATCATCCTCTAGAAACACAATTCATTGTGCATGTATTGCAGTTGCCATTGGAATCAATTTGTAATCAACGGAGTAGAGCAATCGAGCGTCAGATATTCTATTAAAATATAAATTAACAAATATCCTTTAAAAATATATTTGAGGAATTGAAGATTACATCCGAAAGTTATGATTCTCTTGTTCGTTAAACCTTTGAAAATCAATTCTAGATCTATGCACTTTATCCCTAGTCAGTAATATTCTACGGATGGGGGTGGGGGGTTATGGCGCAAAATTTAATAAGATCCTGATAAAATGTACTATGTCACAGATGAAAGTAGTTACGAGAGATAGATTTCTGTAAAATACTAAAACTATTAGGTAGCCGCTATCTCCTGTCCTGTATCTGGGGCGTGAAATTACTCGATCCCGCAGAAACATCATAGGATGAGGGCACAATAACCCCGGGGTTCACATTTTTTTTAAATTTTAGACAATTTAAACACTTTCTCATGGTCTTTACCAGGGATTGGAGGTGAGTATAATCTTTCACAAAACGTGATTTCTCTTTCTCTTAATTCTCTCTTTAGCAATTATTGTGCCCCCTCCAAGTGTCGCCCGGGGCACGTGCACCCCACAACCTCTAAATTTAACCCACTCTCTTCTTCTCGCCTGTGTTGCTTCCATTGAGTTTCGTCCCGATCGCTCCCAGATTGGGCAGGTGTCACCAAGCCTTTTCATATCAAGAAATCACCGAGATTCTATTTATTTTAGTTCCATGCCAGTGGAGCGCGACATTCGAAAGGACAAAAAAATAAAAAGTGCACGTAGCTATCACGATCATTCTGATTGTATCGATCTGTGTCGTCTGCTCATCATCTCACCACATGTCCTGATGGCCGAAAGTGAAAGCGCATATACTAGTCTGCAGGAACAGACTCTGATTTGACACTTTACCACAATTCCTAAAGCCTTGAGCAGAGCCTAGCTCTGTCAGTCTCTGGAGCAGCTATACACAGAGCCTAAATATGCAACATTCTGTCAGCCTAGTCTCACATTGCAGACGCTGTTACGGACAGCGACTGACGAGCAAGGGTTTGTGTCTGAAAACTATCATACGGTGATGTCAATCTTTTGGAAACATTTTTGTTTAATTTGAGTGGGGGTTTAATTGCTTTGAGGTCGTGGCGGGTTTAAAGTGCAAAATGAAAGTGGGATGGGTTAAAGGAAAATGACAATTAATGCCAATAATCCTTTGACAAAATGTGTGGAAATTGATTCGAACGAGTGGCGGCATCTACAAAAGGGATGATGGAAAATTTGTTGGAAAATGCATACAGTCATGCATTTATTCCAGGTAAAGTATAAGGGAGTGATATATACGAGACACAGCAGGAACTTATAGAATATGAGTGCTGATATAACAATAATTACTCGCGAAACAAGCTCATTTCAAGCTCAGTGCCTGGTCACAGCTCGATCATCATTGAATTACAGATAGGTTATTATTCTCGGTCGCAATTAGATTTTTAATTAAAGGGGGTTCCCTTACTATGTGAACGGCAAATAAATGATATAGAAAGAGAGAGAGAGAGAGAGAGAGAGAGAGAGAGAGAGAGAGAGAGAGAGAGAGAGAGAGGGGGGGGGGGGGGGGGGAGAATGAGAACGAAGGGGGAGAGTGTATGCTAAAATAATTCAAGACGATCACCAGATGTCAGTATATTAAAGCAATATCAAGTTATTCTGTTCTTATATTAACACAAGTCGTTTTCACAACACTCAACCTATAATGCAGGTTTCATTAGCTCCCATTAAACGACCTGAACTTTTAATGAAACTGCCGATTAATAATTAATATCGACTCCAACTAAATGAGCTCGACAATAAATGACTTGATGGACTTTTCTTTAAAACGTAGGTGACACGGAGCCGACAGATATGGGTTTGACATTTACACGGCTTTAATTTGACGGAGATGTTCCGTGTATGCTAGTACAGATGGATGGGAAAAACAAACTCATTTTCACATGATCAGGGATGGCATATATGCCATAGGTCGAAGAACTATTTTGATAATGAAGAGCGGGAACAGATAGGGAAATCGTGGATAGATTGAATACAAATGTTTGAAATGTCATCGATTTAATGAGAATATCATTCTCTCGAACGTGACTCGGTATAGATAACTTAGGTGGACTTTTATTGGTGGGATGCAAATAATGATGGAGATAATATATCATTCCTTTGGGGGAACTGTCCTGTTTCGGGATTATACATTAAGTGCAATAAATTCATAAATGGTATATTTTCTGCACAATGTCAGAAACGACTCGGTGAGTTTATATTTTTTAGTGCACAAAAAACCAACTATAGAAATGCTACTTTCTGTAGAATTGTATTATGTAAACGAGTTTCCGTATCGCAACACATACACAAAGAAGAAATGAATCTTGTTGTAATTTCTTATACAGCTTTTGTCAAATTTCTTAGGAACTTCGTCAGTGGGACTTTAAAAAAAAAAAAAAAATCATTTTTTAAGTAGCAATGAACACATTTTTCGATTGTAACCAACTCCAACACAATATACAGAGATTTTGTTGTCAAGGTGGTTCCTGTTGTGCTGTTGTAAAGGTGGTGTTAGAGTAGATATACATGTATTTCAGCTCATACGAATCATTATATGAAATACATGTACCAGTATACAGTTTAAGGTATCCTAATAGGGCATTTTTTTACAGGTGTGGGAGATGGGGGGGGGGGGTGCACCAAGTAAACATGGGGAGAGCTGCATTCCAAAATGGAGTATTCTCTACGAATTCACATATCTGTTAAGTGCTAAGAGACATCCTTGATGTACCAAGCGCTATATAAACCCAGCATCTTATCATTAAAACCACACACATGGATCCAGCCCACTGATTTTGTATACAGTGGACATGTCATTGCGTATAATAATGTTTATGTCCTTAGAGAAACAAAACTGAAAGTATACGTACACAGTATAACTCATAGAATCATAGCCTCACAAACTATATACATTCAACTACACTGAAATCATTCACGACCAGAATACATGGCTAGTTGCAATATTTTTTTTTATTAGTCAAGTTAATTCTAATAACCTTTATCTTTGTATATTTATGTGTCTACATGTATTAACACTGCAATATTAGGACATCAACTTAAAACAATTACAATACATTTTTTTTAAATACATGAATGCTGTTTTATACAATATCGGTTTGATTTACATCATCAAATAAATGGGGGTATGTAGTAATACTGTAGACAAACCGTTTTGTGAAATGGGAGAACCATAGCATTCCACAAATAAATAAATTCACCCTGATATCTGACATGACCTATCATTCCCTTTCAAAGAGGTCAAAGTTCAAACGCAACGGAAAATAAAAAGAACCAAGACCTGAAAAGGAAGAGGATGCGTTAAGATATGCATTCACATCAATGTGAATATCCTTGGGAGATTATCACTTATGCAAGAGGGCGAGTGAAACATACAGTTGGTTGGAAAAATGTCATCAAAAGTCAACAAAACCAGTTATGATGAAAATTAAAGATTAGGCAATTATAATACAAAACTCATGCTAGCAATCATAAGATCAAAAACTGAGCATCTCTGCAAGGCTTATAGAACAAATTAATTGCATATTTAATGCCTACAATATATCAATTTCACATGACATTTCCTTTGTTAAGTTTTTGTTATTCGCCAGGTATAAGATATCCTCCTAACAAACCAATGAACACAATCATTACAGCCCCTTATGCTTAAATAACAATGAAAATAAGCCTTATATCCCGGTACAATAAGTCTCTCTAACCTGTTTTAAACAGAAAATAGTTCCAGCCCCCACCAGGCTGAATTTGAGCTTGATAATCATGATATTTATCCCTACTGACAACATATACAAATCAACAGCAAAACAGTTATACATAGAATAGATGAATATCAAATAAAAGTATTGCACCTGGTTAACTTTTGTACAGATAGTTGTAGCCATATGCAAATAGACGCCAAACACAGAAAAAGAAGTCTTTCAATAGTAAATAAATCAAACTTAGATAGATAAAGCAATACCTTTACAACCAAAAGGCAGTGTTAAGAATAAATATATTATTAGAAACTAGCATACAAAATACTACATGTACATGTATGTACAGTGTACACAGAATAAAACACAACAAACTAAATAACAGCACTAATAAAAGAATTACATATAAATATGCCTAATGCAGGATAAAAGTAAATATTAAAAATGGAACTCTACAATTTAAGCAAAACTTCAAATTTAAATTACACTTGAAATATCATAATAATACTTAGTTAACCATATACAATCAAGCCCATTTCTGGTAATTGTGAGGAAAAAAAATTAAATTAAGTGAAGAAACAAATTCTTTGACACATATATTTTCAGCTAATATACAGATAGTGGAATGTTGTTAACATGAGGAAACTTTACTATTGCGATCATCGCTCTACAATTCTTCTCCAGTAGATGGGTATGCATTTCTCTTAATATGATGATTACATAACTTTCTTGTGGGAAAAAGTCTGAGAGATTGATAGAAATATTAAGAGTATGTAAGTACCAATTGTCCCATTTCTCCTCTAATTCATTACACTAATTTACAATCTCATTTCATTGATGTCTTTGACACAAACTTGGGACTTCTTTAAAATGATTTAGTAGTTGTCACACCACAATATGGCACTTCAAAAATAAAACACAGCTGCCAGATTCTATAATTAAATTGTGATAAGGATTAATCAGTGATTCCAAAGTTGTTAACTTACAAATTTGCATTCTTTCTTTAATCTTGTGAGAAAAGCAAGAAACATGAATACTGCCCTCATTCAGCTAGTCTCTATGTAAAACCACGTCCAAATAATCAAAATTTTCCCGAGAAATTGTTTGCCCCTGCTCTTCAATTATCTCTGTTTCTAAGGTCAGAGGGAGAGGGTGTAGGTGCAAATATCATATATTATATTTAGTAAATGATACAAAGACTAATGCTTTTAAAAGTCATTTACAAAAATAATAATTATCTTGGCATTTATCATCCTTGATAAAGTATAGACCCTATCGATTATGTAAAAAAAGACAAAGATCTTCTCTGAACATCGGGTAAAAGGATAAAATTGGATCTAAAAAAAGAAAACTGATTTTGATATTATTTCCAAGCAATCTTGCTTGTTCACTTGCAAATTTGATAAAATCACATAAATTCATTACAACCAATTACAAGAATTGTCACATGAAAACATGTGTAATTGAAACCAAAGAGGTATTACAGCTGGACATACAATTTTTATTCGATTCTTTAAAAAAATACTTTTTCCATATTATCTCAACTCAAGAAGACCTCCATTAACATACCTCAAAATGATCATTGTAATATATACGTCCCTTTGTCGAAACAAAATTCAAACCACTTGTTATGACAACACTGTTTGGAGCATGTATGTTATGCATACATGCTGCTAAACAGTACAGCTAAGAATAATGCCTCAGGCTCAACCTTTGGTGGTGGATGCATAAAAAGATCTGCAAATACGATTTATTAGAGTGTGCATTCATTCATGAACACAACAAATGTTGAGATTTTTTTTTTTTTTAATAGGGGGGGGGGGGGGGGGAGGGGGGGATGTTACGTAAAGCAAATTATAACTAGACAGATAACAGCACCATGATACGGTTGTATCAATCTTCATCATAATCAAATTTACAAAATACTGATATATGTACAGTGTTGATACACTCCTGATGAATCATTGCATGCATTCAATCTCGGTTTCAATTTCTGTTTCTTTTGTTGGAACCTTGCCAAGCTTGCAAATAGTTTTAATCATTTGCAATCACAATGGCAAGTCTCAAAAGGCTTTTCATCAATACATTTCAAAAGCCACCTCATTGACAAAAGAGTCACACATACCATAGACTACATAAATGTTTTGCTTCAAAGAGCGGTTAGATTTTCCAATCCTGGCGCCGATCCTCTCATAATTTCCCCCGATATACTCCTCTTAATCAACCTGCAACCCTTCTCGTACCTGTAAATCCTTGCCCTCCTTTATGAAAAAACTAAATGTAAAATATAAGGAGTACCAAAAACAACCAACATGTTGTGACAAAAACGCCTGAATATTATGCTACACACTACACTACCCTTAACAAAAGGTGTTATACTAATTATGTTGACCCTGGGAAGCGCTGCCTCAGCGGTTTTGGTCTCTTGTGTTTTCTTTCCCTTTTCAGTGTTTGGGGCACGGTGCGGTGGATCCTTGTGTCTACCGGAGTAGGCTTATCTAATTAATTGAGCCCTGAACATATTGATTTCCTTTGCAATATTTTATCCCATAGAAGCTGTTATAATGTTTTCTGTATTAATCATCTCACAACTCTGTATTATATCATATCATATTGTTTTGAGTATCAAATAAAATATCATTTGAAAAACGAAAACCCTGGGAAGCCTCATCAGCACCAATGCTGTTCTTCTTAAGAGCCCTGGAAAATCATCACCCCAACAATTACCAGGTACCCATTTACACCTGGGTAGAGAGTAGCAAATGTCTTCACAAAGAACATCAGTGCCAGGCTGGGAATCGAACCTTCAACCTTTCGATCGAGAGTTAAGTGGCTCAACCACTGTACTGCGACACCTCTAATCTCACAAGAAATAAAATCTGAACCAACAGTTTGGACTAGATATCAATAAAGCTATAAAACTATAGACACGTGGTCACATGATCAGATTTGAACTATACGGTGACATTCAGTATCGACCACAATGCATATGGTATATACAACATTATATACATGTACAGTGAAGAATAAAGAATGTTGTTGAAGGTCGTGGTTGACTTGCATATTGTGTCAACTTCCTCTTTCTTCGTTTGGTCAAATAGATGCAGATATACAGTAACGCATCTCACACATGCATATGGTGTTATAGGTCATATTTAATGCATCTATATTCAGCGTTTAATATTCAAGAAGAGAAAAACATATACAGACCTTTCTCAATGAATAATATAATTCAAGGAACTACTTAAGGAAATCTACAAGCTCTTTAACCCATTAAGGTGCCAAAAAGTTGAGAATCATGTTTCATAAATCAAAATCTTTCAAGAATTTTAAATCTGAATGCATGGTTTGCTGAAAACAGATTTTAGGGATAACTTTATTTTTTATGAGAGCGTGTCTGAGTATATCGACTGGTCTACTCACAAGTTGCTTCTATGTTAATTGCGAGTGTATTTAAACTTGCAATTCATCTCTTTACAGAGGTAACATTGGAAACTCATGAAGCCCTTAACGTGCTGATTACAATATTTGTTGCTGGTTGGTACACTTTAAGCCGATTGAGTGCTTTGAAATACATACAGAGTCAACATACGGTGCCATCCTATCCTACTATGTGAACAAGTGCACTTATACTGATTGCTGAATGCACATTATGATTAATCGAAAGGTACTTGAATGTGTTATCAATACATGTAGTTACATATCACTGGTTGCTGGAAGGTATTATACTTCCTTCCTTTTCTCAAGTTACATGTAATGGATCATGCACACATATTCTCCTAAGAGAATAATGTTTGCGTTTAGTGTCATTAGTGTCAGTAAAATATGATTTGTACACACTACAATCAACCCTGTGTTAGTAGCCACCTCTTTATAAAGGCCACCTGTCTACAGTGGCCATGCATTTTGGCTTTCTCCAGAAAGGCCACTTGTTTACAATGGCTGGCCACTTTTACTGTTTCCTGATCCCTCAATCATATTCCACTAAGAAAATAATGTTTTTTGTATTTAATAGCGTCATACATATACCAGAACACTTGCTCACAACGATATTGATTTGGTAAAATTGACTTTAAAGAAATGATATGCTTTAATTTATTTTGATTAATTTAACTTGCAACACAAATCATTGCATTGCAAACGGGGTGTAACTTTTTGAGGGGTTCAGGAGAAAACCAAAGTCTACAGTTCACAAAAACATTCAAAATTCTCTGTATTTTCCATGGTATGGGTGTATATTGTACATTGAAAGCTTAGGCTTTGGAACAAAACCTGTTGACCTCGTCTGCCATTGGCGCATTGGACCACGTTCCTTTCCATTATGACAAAAATCAGGCAAACAGTGGACTAGCAAATGAACAGATATTCAATAAATCAAAATATAACTTTCCCTTTTTAACAAGGCTTTAAGGACACTCCTAACAGGAAGCAAAAATTGAAATATTTAACAGCTTGGTTTTTCTCTTCTTTGTAAAATGTAATCTGATACAATATATACATCATATATATATTTATTTATGCTGAGAAGTGTTTTCATCTATGTGTGATTTATATGGCGATCAATGACAACCATGGATGAGGATGTACATTTACAAGATCAACTTTAAGCTATTAAATAAATGAGATACATAGGAATAAGTATTATTTTTTTAAAGAAAAAAAAGAAAAAAAAGAGAGAATGGAGAAGAAAGAGCGACAGAGAGAGAGAAAGAGAGAGGGAGAGAGCGAGGCTTTGTATACTTGGTAGTAGCGGTACATGCCTGTGTTACTTCACACTCGCTGAATCTCAAAGAGTTTCACGTCCGTATCATACCAAATCGGTGGGTCCAAGTTCCTGTAGGAGAGGAAAATGAACAATACATGACTTATTATTTGGCTCGGATTAATTACAAAAATGTAACGTGTGATTGAATTATTTGAGGCAGGAAAGTTTCGCCAATCTGACCCACTCACCAAAGTTCATGCACACGACAGATTCTGGTTTTATGGTACACCGGCCTCGCTACTCAAATAAATAAAGAAAAAGACATTGACCCTTCTTGCACTGAACTAATCTTAATCTTAAACTTGAACATGAAAGCACAGAAAACTTTAACAAAATGCATAAAAAGCGCAATTACATTTTCTCGGGATTTGGAATCCCACTTGGATCATCTCTAAATAACTTCATTTCAATTGGTAAAAAAAGTAACATTATAGTTAGATGTAATACACTGATAAAACATTAACATCAACATTAAAACAAACATCTGCTCATGTTGTTTGATGTTTTGTTAGCATGTTATCATTAAATTAAATATGTTTGTAATTCAAATGGCGGGAAAAAATAACCAAAACAAAAACACGTCAACATTAAAAACATCTGCTGAGAGGCAGAAAGGCATTAACTGAATATTCAAAATTTGAACAGAGAAAATGGAGTTTACCGGTATACCCGTCACGTTCACAGAAGACAACATATCATTAATTAATTAATTGATATTAAAGTAAAATCAGAATGATATTTTAATATCCATAATTATAATGAAACATACACCTACAGATATTAAACTGTTAAGGTTCGTTCACATATACACTGCAGTGTTTAAACAAATCTTTTGAATTCATTTTATTTTGAATGAATGGAAAGTGTGGATAAACAATACAGCTGTGCGGAACAAAGGTCACATGTGTACATGAAGGTACATTTTGTCGTATTTTATTGGTGCGTCCTAAAATGCAAGTACACAAATGTGAAGCACAGTATGCTATAAAAAAAGAAGAGAAAAACCAAACACAAAACAAAACTTGGAAAACCATCACAGTTTACCACAACTTATGTGAACAAACCTTTAGGAAAAAATAAATCATTAATTAAAAAAAAAACGGCACTTCATATTAGTCTTGAGGGCAAAAAGGGAGGTTAGTTCACAATAATTCAAATTAAATCACGAGAGTAACATGTACCAGTGTGTTTAAATATGATGGAAGACGACTGCAGCATCTTGTGATTACGTCTCGTTGATTCTCTGGACTTCAAACAGTCGAACTGCCGTGTCGTACCAGATGGGCGGCTCCAGGTTCCTGTAGTAAACACAAAGAACATACATCACAAGATACTCCACATGCTACATATCTCTTGTATTATAAACTCCTCATTGTGAATGGATTTAGAACCTGAAAAGATGTGTCATGCACTGACGAGGCTCTGGTTTAATTAGACTGCATGCATATATCTGATGTCAAAGACAAAAGAGAAATAAGTTAGTAGGCATGCCATGCTGTAATGATAGTAAACTACAGTCAAACCTGCTTTAGTGACCACCTGTCTACAAAGACCACATTTTTTGTTTCCCTTGAAAATGGTTTCGCATTGAAACATGTACTAAAGGAACCTGTCTACAAAGACCACTTTTTGTGTTTTTTTTTGGTTTTTGGTTTGACTGTATTCCCTTAGTAATACTTGGTGCATATAGCTCCAGTGATTTTTACATGAAAAAATCAAACCTGCCTATGAAGGTCACCAAGGAAATAATTTGAAGTGACCTTCATATACAGGCTGACTTTGTAATACAGTGTAATAAAGAGTTGAGTGCTTTGTGATTCCCCATTTTTGCTTTTGTAATTATGCCATTACACAACAATCATCTGTATTAACCACTAACTTGAGAGATGAGACACATACAAGTATACATGTACATGTATTTGCAATTATGTCCATCATGAAAAATGATTGGGTTACAGGCTGTGTATAGATATGTATGCTGTCATGAAGTTGCATCTCAGTAAAGAGTCCAGTTGCAATGCAAATGATTAAGAAAGAAGCAGTATATAACGAGCATTAATGGTTAAATTCATGTAGCTATTGCGATGAAGATCGATGGTACATTCAAACATGGTGCTGTTGATAATGGAATGAAATAGAAAGATAGTATCATTAGAAGTGAACAAAAAGTTAGTATTATTTGATGTTGCGAGAGTTGGAGCAGTGCTTGCTAGGCCCGTGTACTTATAGGAATCCAAATGCAATGCTGATTAGGGCAGATGCAAAGAAAATGGTACGGAGAAACAGAAGGCAGTAAATGATCATTCATGATGGTAGAATATTACTGTTTGTTGCATTAATAGAAATAACGTGGATGAGTAGATACATGTATATACAGCAGGACAAAAATGAGGAGGGTCAAAGAGAGAGGGTGAACGAAAGAAAGAAATATAACAACAAATAGAGAGTGTGTGTGAGCGAGAGAGAGAGAGAGAGAGAGAGAGAGAGAGAGAGAGAGAGAGGGGGGGGGGGTAGATAGAAACAACATTTACACAGAATAAAGACACTAACAATTAGTGTACAACAATAAAAGATAAATTTTCATCATAAATACAAAAGATATTAAGGAATTGGTTATCCGCATTCTCCTTTCAAAGATGATGATATAAGGTGCTGGAATTAGAAGGATTAATTACATGTAGTTTATATAAAAAGTCAAATGCTATATATTAATTTGTCTTTGAAACAAACATGCAGGTCCTTTACAGGCAGGTATGGTGATTGTACAATTCATAACCAGTCAACTTTAAATGTTAATATTGGAGTTACCTAACACAGGTTAATTCAAATGACAGTAAGTAAAACGGTTGTTCAGATATGACGCCAAAAAGAACCCCAGCGTTTTTTATGACGTAAAGTGTGTGTCACATTTCTGTATCTTAGACCACCTTCCGAGGTGGTCTTGAGGAACGGGTCTTATTAAGAGCGGTTTGGACCGCTCTAACGTGCAATGTGAATGGAAGCGTACTTTGAGCGGAAGTGAGCTAGTGACGTTCCGTGCGAAACATGTAGTACGGTACATACGGTTTGTATTCCGCGCGCGAAAAAATTGACCCGCTGACCTGAGCTGCCATAGCAACAAGACCACTTTGACTCGTGGAGCGGTTTGAGCCATAAAAACTGCTCGGAATGTGAACGCTCGCAAACCGTTCCTCAAGACCCGTTCCTCTGGAGCGGTCTAACTAAGACCACTTTCAAAGTGAGTGAGAACGGGGTCTTATTTAAACAGAACTCAGTGAAGTCCTTTGTTGCAGGCAGTTGCCATTCATTTAAAAGGACGGCGGAAGCTTTTTATCTGAACAAGCCTTTAGATGAAATAAGTTCCTGTTGTTAGCAAAGCATGTATGCAAATACATTGTGAAATAGCATCAGAAAAATAAGATGGTAATGCATCGTTCCAAATGAATGAAATCAAATTGTACACAATTTTGGAATGCAAAGTTGTTGCTTTGACATAACCTAACGTGAATTCTTAAACATGGTGTCAATATCAGTATAAACTAACACCAAAGTCATAGGATTGAGACATGTACATTCATGAAAGTAGAAGAATATGAATTATGAATACAAATTATACGACATAAATATATACATTCGTAAATATTATATACATATGTGTAAATTTGAATGCCAAATTCATGTCTCAAAATTAAATGTAGATCCTGATGCTAAAATACAAAAGAGTAAGGGAGTTTACAGATACAATCTGCGCATGGGAAGATAAAGGTCATTTGTACCAAAATGGTAAAACCCACAGAGATGAATACTGGATATGCGCTCATGAAAGTTATATAACATTATTCATTTATGCACCAACGGTACATTCTATGATACGCAGGTGGAAGTATTCTTTTCAAGAGGTCAAACAAAAGGTATTCATGAAGCACATCTAGGACTGTGGCAGTTATTATTCTGAGATGCTCAAAGTGGAACTTCTCCATGTGTAAAAGATCTGTGGATATTTGGGGTCATTTGTACCATGTGCTATCTGTAAACTCCCTTATTGCATGCATCATGCTCCAGTTATACCTAGTTATAAAGAGATCTTCACTTTTTGAAAAATCAAGGCCACAAGATACCTGTGTATCAGTATAACTGGTTAAAGATACAACAAAAGTCATCGTGCATTTAATACCACATTCTGTAATTTCTGACAAAGAGTAAGAATTGAATTGAAATTCGATGGCATAATTATAACAAAAAATAAAAATCAGTTAATTAGAGAAGTGTCATAAGCTTTTTCCAAAATAATTTGACACCTTTCAACTTTACAAAGTTTTAACCCGAGTCTTGTACGATTTTTCACTTTTAAGTTATCGAAGATTAAAAGTTTTTTTAAAATCCAACACGTAATAAATAATGTACAGTGTACATGTATATTCTACTAAATTAAACCAAAAGTGTTCTTGGAAAGCTTGGAACATCTTGCTCCAGAGAGTACTAAATACATGTAATTACATGAACCACACAAACAAAGAATTTTGAGGAGTAATTACTGGTGAGGTGAACAGGTCAGAGGTGAACAGGTCAGAGGTACATGAGAATACCATGATATATCTAAACTGATCTTGTAATCAGGATCATAGACATGCTTGAAGGAGTAAGTGAGGAATGAAGAAATTAGAGGGAAAACATGGAATAGGTGAAATCATGAGAGAGAGGGAGAGAGTGAGAAAGAGAGGGAAAGGGGGGCAAATAGATAATTTATTAAAAAAATACCCAAATTATAACTGCGAAACCATGTATATATCTAACTAACTTATATCACTAGAGTGAATAGATGACATCAATATGTTATCTGCACTAATTAAAGACTGTTGATTGTACAACATGTATACTCTGATAACAAAAATCACATGACTATCCCTCCCCCCCCCCCCCCCCTTGGAAATTGCTAGATCTGTCCTTGTACCTAGGAAAATCAGTCTAAAGAAACCCAAATAGTAGGATCACAGCCATAGAAAACCATGAATTGATTTATAGAAAACATTACTACGATGTTTGAAGCATGAAGGAAACCTGTAATGTACACATGAGGAATTTGATTGGAAGTATGAAATAGATTTAAGCATGCGAAACAATGAGAATTCTTATTCCATGAAACAAAAATGAGTCAATGCACAGACCAGATAGAAAAACAAATGTATTTTATGAAGTAATACATGTATCTTGTAACAAAATAAAATCCCCTTTTTGTGCAAGACCGATGTTGAAGTGACACTGAAAAATTGAATAATAATTTATCGGTATGTCCACCCCATAACAATTGCTTTGATTGAAGAAAATCTACAAATCAGTTGAAAATAAATTAGTTTGAGACAAAAAGAATATAATTTATTTTCTGGAGTTGGGGGGAGAGGGGCAAAATAATAATTTAAAAAAATTCTGACACTTTTTAAAACTATATAAACTTTGTATAAAATGTATAAACTTTGATCATAAATGTTACGATACAGGCGATGTGACTATCGGCCATTTATCTGTATTGAAATGGACACATTGCATGTACCATTATTTTGCATAAATTCATGTCTTTTAAAGGAAATTGATTCTAAACATTGTTTCTTTTACTGTTTCTGTTTCAAATCAAAGCAACTTTGTGGGCTGGACTTCCCATTTGAAAATAAAATTGGAATAGTATTCCTGCCTGCGGGAAGACGTGCAATAGAGCACTCTTTTCTTTTTCTTTCTAGTCCATCTAGGTGTAGTGTTCAGACAAAGAGAAATAATACAATACCAAAAAGGATAGTCAGCAAACGAATATCAACAGATAAATAAGAGAGACCTCAAGCCTCATTCATTAGGACAGGGAAATATTTTTAACCAATGTCTCACAAGTTGTAGCTTACTATCTCATTTTAGTATCACTATATTGTGTTGTTGTCTTCAATGTATTTATTTCTAATTTAAGATAACACATACAGTGGGGGTTGTTAATGTTAGGTACATGCTCCACCGAAAATTGCTCCCTAAACAATTTCCTAAATTCAATGCCTGACCCAACACCATATTAGTAAACCAAACTAAAACCCTTAACCTTACCCAAAGCCCATCGGAAACCAAGAGGTAACCCCATATATTTTGTGGCGAAGTAAGGCCTGAGTGAATGTTACCACATCTAATGTCTTATAAAGATCAATACCACATGTATAGAATCAATAATAGAGACTTGGCAACTTCACTGATTTTTTAGAGTTTTCTCAAGTTTTGAGTAAGCTTTCTAAAGCAGTTGTCGAGATAATCACTGAATCTATGAACACCAAAACCACTTCTACATGTACTCATGAATTTGGTGAATCTGAAAAGAAGCCAATTGGTGTGAAATGTCTTTGTTTTATCTCATGTATTGACTCATTTATGTTCAACAATTAACAAGAAAGCTTTTAGCCAATGGGTGAACTTTTAGCAAATTTGACAGCATGGTGTTATTTATATGGAAATGTTTGAACTACTAAATGATTAGGCAAGACAAATACATGACAACAAAGATGTTTATTTTTTAATGTAAGCCCTTGCACTGATCTTTGGTGAAAATGTTTGACAGTACTATTTATCCACTACATGTACATATATGTATGAGAATATTTGATGGCAGTCTAATCTCTTTCAACACTACATGAAGACCTCTATTTGTATGCAACTCCCCCAAAACAATACTTCTAAATCTCATTAGGAAATATGATTCCCCATTTAATTTTTTTTTATAAGGACAACTCCATTCCAACATGTAACTTGGGAGAGGGAGAGAGAGAGAGGGAGGGAGGGAGGGAGGGAGGGAGGGAGGGAGGGAGGGAGGGAGGGAGGGAGGGAGGGAGGGAGGGAGGGAGGGAGGGAGGGAGGGAGGGATGGAGGGAGGGAGGGAGGGAGGGAGGGAGAGAGAGAGAGAGAGAGAGAGAGTGAGAGAGACAGGGGGGGGGGGGGGAGAAACATAGAGATAGAGGGAGAGAGAAGATCTTCCAATATTCTTTTGTCACACTTATAAACATTAGTAAGTTATTCATGACGAAAAGTACCAATATTGAACCAAATATTAGTGTATCAGTATGTTTGTGTGTGAGAAAGGGAGATACAAGAAAGTCATCCCCAAAAAATGAGAGCATGGGAGAAAATAAGAGAAAAAAGGGGGATAAAACAGAGAGAGAGAGAGAGAGAGAGAGAGAGACAAATGGATAGGGAAGAGGAGAGATATGACGGAAAGAAAGGGGATGAGAGAAAAAAGAGCAGTAAGACTGAGAGGAAAGAAAAAAGATGATAAAGTGAGAAAGAGAGAGAGGGGGGGGGGGGGGGGGGGGGGGGGGAGACACACACACACGCACAAACTCGTAGAAGAGAAAGGAGTAAGAAAGAAGATAGGAATTCTTACAAGACCTTTCAACAGATGACCATTATCTACTACACCCTTCCACAAATGACCCTATGCATGGGATGGAAATAAGGACATTGTAGAGTTTGGGAGGGGGAGGGCTTGGGGAGGGCTTTACAAACATATACACCATAGAATAGTAGAACACTACTGAAATATATTAGCTGTCCTACCTGAGGTAAATGACGCCCCACATGTATGTTCTGAACCAGAGTGTAGTCCCACTGTTAGCCTGATACTTCCTGATAAGGATCGGGTGGGGGACAGGAAGAAGACCGACCAGCGTACCGTGCTGCAAGAACTTCAAGATCTCACTCTCATCTGTTAGTCCCCTGTAAGTACAACAAAACAAAACAAATGAAAAGATTCAGTCAACAGATTTATATTTGACCAAAAGAGGGTAACAGCAATATAAAACAAAATTGAATATTTAAGAATATGCAGTTTATCTGGACAAACTTAAGATCGCAATGGCAGTCTGATGAAGGCGCGCCTAATGAGATTTCAAAATGCCTGTCGACTGTGCTGAAGGGCATTGTATAGTTTTAACCATGCCTCTCAAATCAGTCCATATTTGTATCGTACTCACTTGTCGATGCAGATCTTCTCTACCTGTGGGACCAAGACCTGAAGAAGACGCATGATGGTCTGAAGGGGTAACTTCTGTTTCCAAGACTGGACCTGAAGAACAAAATAGTTGGGCTTCATTTATTCTAATTCTACATGCAGGTGAAGAAAAACGAACTTTCACACAAGTTATATGTTGATAACATTATTTATCAACCAGCAGAGCAGCAGCAGTAGAAGACTGTAATAGATAGCTTGTTCAGCACAATCCACCATTATTTCACAATCAAAATGCATAAAAAAGAAATCATCCAAATATTGATCATTTAGTCCATAGCAAATTTAGCAGTCATACATGTACACTTCCTCATAAACAAAACAACCGACTATGTGAATTTCTGCGCTGTTCCTGATGTACGTGTATGCTTCTTTTGTAAATTACTAAAAAAGAAGAAAATAATAAATATGTCTGTGACACTAAATACAAAAATTAGACGCATCATTAAAGCCCCAATGAACTACTAACAGCTACTTGCACCCTCTATATAGCAGACATGCCTAATCGGTGACCGTTGGTTTCCTATAATCCCCTCTTTACAATGTCAATCGAGAGCTGATTTGATGAGATAACCACCTATCAGTGACCATACAGGGAGGTCTAATTCTTCCTGGCCAACGAGTGTAGAGGGGCTTTAAGAGATATATGTATGTATCTACATGTACATGTTGACGAAAATGTTAAATGCCAAAGGAGTGAGATTCTAGCATTTCCAGCATCATTTTAAAGATTCTTGTTTATTTTTGAAATCCCTTACCCATTCTGGAGTTGGTCTCCATTCTCCGGCCACGCTGGCTGCAGCACTGGATGAGGTTGAGCCTGTCCTCTGCAGGGCAGCTGGACGGAAATCATCGCCGCTGAAGCCCGCCCTCGCTTGGCCATCCTGTGGCGGTACCCTGCTGGATTCCGAGGTGTGACTCTCAGTATCGCTCTGAGGGGACACGGCTTGAGCTGTCTGGATCTACATATCAAATAATGAACACAAGATATAGATGAATTCAGTTTCGTCATCTCAGTGAAGATTCTTCAAAGCCAAGCTACAGAAATAGCACCATCATCTCACTGATTGAAGCAGTTTAACAAAACATTTCTCACATGGAAAAATAAATAAAAATCTAATGCATCTTAGCCAAATGGGCAAGATTATTGCAAATATTTTTTAAACAAATTCAGCTTAGGCATTCTGTATTCCACAGATGTCAACAACCAACGCAATTTAGTCATACAGTGACTGGAAGATCACTGATAGTGGCTGGAATTCACCATTGAAATTCAAATACATCATTAAAATGCAAAAGTTACAGAAGCGTCAAGGCACATCAAGTTTCTATCCATTCCTTAACATGCAAACTTTGGACATTAAATTGAAGATAGAAACTTTCGATAAAGTGGTTGCAACAGCGAAAGGAGGACCAGTACATACAAATTCCTCCCTATTCTTAAAGCCCCACTGCACTACTTGTAGCTACTTGCTCCCTCTATATAGAAAACAATGCCTAAGCAGTGCCCATTGGTCCCCCATGATCCTCTTTTTCTTATGTTAATTAAGAGCTGAGTTGATGAGATAACCACCTGTCAGTGAGCACCCTGGGTGGTCTAATCCCTCCTCGCCAGACTGGTGCAGACAGGCTTTAAATATTCCATGTATTTATAGAAATATTATAATAATCTAGTGTGCAACTGAAAAACTTTTGAGAAATGAAATCATAAAGAAGAGGACAGTATGACTTACGCTCTGTGCCATGTTGTCCCCACCACCCCCTGAGAGTTCTTCTGCATTGCTGTTCTCCATGCTAGCTGCTGCGGCCGCTGCTGCTTCACCAGGCATCACCTTAGACGTCTCTGTCATCATGGACACACCTGATGGGCAACAACACGAGATAACAATCATTTGTATTACAGTCAAACCTGCTTTATAGAACACCTGTCTACAAAGACCACCCGTCTGTAAAAACTACATTTTTTGTTTCCCTTGAAAAAGGTTTCTCATTGAAACATGTACTAAAGGAACCTGTCTACAAAGACCACTTTTTGAGTTTCTCTTGGGTGGTCGCTATAGACAGGTTTGACTGTATTAATAGTAACAATAGTAACATTTCTTATGCCCCCCATATTCATTCCTAGGAATGTTTAATGTGCCTGACCATATTCAGTATTCAGTATTCAGTATTCATTTATTTTCCACATTAAAAACCAGAAGAATATACAAGGTAAAAAAATACATTTTATACATTTGACACATAGAGCAAATGAAAAACAGATACATAAGCATAAAAGAACAATGAAAATCTACATCAGCTAACAAACATCAACATTAAAACATAAAAAGGTGAGTAATGTAGATGGGGCTAGAAAAAGCGAAGCTTATCGAGTCTAGCCCCGGTAGCGATGAAGGGGGAGTCCATCCTGAGAATGTGTGTGGCCGAGTAAAGGGGGAGTAAACCCATCCTCAGGGTGGACTCTCCCTTCAAATGTCTGGTTTTATAATTAGATTCAATTGACCCGATGAAAACATAATTGCGATTTGAAACATAATAATAATTATTTTTTAGATTGATATGACTATTTAGAATTGCAGAGGTATTTTTTATATTTCAATTTAAATTGTTGTAATGATGCTGATTGTTTGAGACTGTCATCTAAAGCAGACCATGTAAGGTAACCCTGGTACTTAACACTTCTTTGGCCAGTAGCAGTTCTGTAATAAATGCTATGCGAATTCTTGGAGTTTCGGGTGTTATAACAATGTACATCATTGTTGCATCTAAACCAGTTTTGAAGAGAGTTTGGTAATAGTCCCTTTTCAGACCTGTACATAAATTCTCCCAGTTGTAACCTACCTAATTCATATACAGTCAAGACCCTTAATTGTTTAAAGATACTGTACTGTCGGTATGGGCCAAATAATGAGACTTGGCAACTATGCGTATTACACGTTTTTGCAACAAATGTAAACGATTTAACAAGGTATTTGATGCATTTATCCATAGCATATTTCCATATTGTAAATGGGGTAGAATTAATGAATTGTATAGTAAAAGCAGTACTTTTGACGGTAATACAAATTTCAGTTTTGACATAACTCCAGTAATTCTCGAGATCTTCAATGCAATATCATTAATATGTAAAGACCATGATAACTTGTCATCAATATTAACTCCCAAGAAGCGGGCACTATGTACTTGCTTTAAGGGCTCTAGTGAATCAACAAACTTAAGAGTAAGTAAGTTCTTATCATATTGTTTATTCAATGGTGCAAAATGCATAAAATTTGTTTTCTCAATGTTTATCCTTAACCCATTCACTTTGTACCAAATATTAACCTTTTGTATTTCTTTATTCATATTATGGACAAGAGTATCTAGTTTCTTCTCGCTTAAAGAGACATTGGTATCGTCTGCAAAAATAATGTATGACAAAGTTGAGGAAACATTTGGCAAATCGTTTATATATAGAATAAACAACAGTGGCCCGATTATTGACCCTTGGGGCACTCCGCATACAAGTTCTTTTTCAAATGAATATATGTATATAATGAACAGTTAAGAAAATGACATGAGGCAAACTAAATACATAATATGGATAACAATAAGAAAAATACATATAATAATGGATAACAATAACAAAAAAAATTGGGAATCTCCTGAAAGATTTTGATATAAAATAAGTTTCTTTGGAATGACCTCAAGGTCCAAAAACGAAACTGACTCTTCGGAGACTGAGAGCTCAAGAGACCAAGACCAAGACTGGGACGGCGACTACCGTATTTGCCGGCGATAAGGCTGCAGTGCTGCATAGGTCGCACCCCGATTTTGATATTTTTTAGAAGAAAAAAAAAAGAAAAAATTTGTCGGAGGCGGATACGAACCCACGCGTACAAATGTAGATTGCGACCCGAACCACCGCCTTAGACCGCTCGGCCATCCCGACCCTGATGCTTTCTCTTGCAGCTTTCTCTTGTGTATTGCGCCATAGCTTTGCTCGCACGAGCTAAGAGAATTGAGGTTGCTTTAGCTATGGCAAAAAATTAAATCTATATCTATCAGTAGAGTTTGGTTTGTAAGTTATGAATTTTATTTACGAGATTGACAAAACTTTGCCCTTCATTTAAAAAATATTACACAAAATTGTCGGTAAGACATGTGTTATTCTAGAAATATCCATCACCTTTCATTGTTGTCCCATAAGTACACATTCGTGCTTTTTTTCATGGTTTTGACTTGCGATTTTTAATTTTTTTTACTTTTTCACCGCAAAGGCAGCACCCCGACTTTTTGATATTTTCTCTTCCAAAAATACTGCAGCCTTTACGCTGGCAAATACGGTATAGTACACTGTTCCATAATCTTGACTCCAAGTAGTTTTTTCGAAACGTTGAGGTTCAAGAATGAGACAAAGAGGTCCAAGACCACGACCCAACAAAGATAGATTTTGAGATGGTCTTGAGACCTACAACACTGGTGCTCACTCCTTACCTGGTGTAGCAAGGAGAGTAGCTTTGAGGGTTCCTGGCTCTGCGTCTGCAGCCTGCATAGACCCCTCCATGGAGGCAGGGTCGGTGTAGTCGGCGGCCGGACTAGGGCCTACCTTCTTACTCCTCTTAGCCAGAGCCTTGGAGATAGAAGCCTGATCCGAAGGGAGGTTGGCCAATTGATGGAACACTGTACGCTTGCGGATGATGGTGTACACCAAGTTGGAGTTGCCTGTGATGAAAAAAGATGGATATCAATCAATATCATACATGTACAGGAGAGGGGGAGGGTGAACAACTGTTGGAAGATTGTACATTTGCAATTGATGGATTAGACCAAATTTGTCATGCTAATTACATAAATGTGTGCATATACCTTAAATTTAAGGGAAATCTAACAATTGTAATTACTTCATTTGTAAGTGTTTTGGTTGGTTACGTTCACTGGTAAAGTACTTTACATGAAACATTATGAAATAGGAAGACAAGCAAAACAGAATGGTGAAAGTTTGAAATATATGATCACTAAATCTGTGTGAATCTCAAACTGGCAATTAGGTCAGTGGATTGTGACGTACATGTAGTCATGGACAACTCTCCCGTTTGTCGAGCACAAAATTATAATTAATCCCTGATTTTCATTTAATTGCCTTCTTCCTTAGGGCAATACTTATAATATATTATGGATAGCTTATTTTTCTAGCTCCTCTAAAAATGAAAGACCCTCCTGAGTCATTTTGAAAGATTGAAATTCAGTCATTGATTTTGTAAGTTGGAATAAATGGGAGAGTTGTCCGCCACTAGTGCATGAAAGTGATATTACTGATTCAGTCAATTTGAATTCCCCATACGTATAGTGATAACAACTTTCAAAATGTCATAACTTTTTTTTAATTGTTTGTCCGATTTTATTCCAACTTTCACCAATCTGCTTCTCTATATTTTTCTGCTTTCTTTCAGAGCAGTTTGCTATCAAGGTTAGATTTTCATTATCTCAATGAAGAATAATGATCTGATTGACAAATGTTGCACACACTGCAATTTGCTCTTACCATCAAACTGATACTGGATGATGTTGTTAAAGATTTCAAGGAGGAAGAAAACAAGATGATGATTTGATGGGCTTGAGAAGAGGAACCAAGGGGTTGAGAATGCTTCCAGGAGATGGAGCATCTTGTTTGCTGATACCATCGATAAACTCTTCAGATAGGGTGACACTGAAATAATGAAATGATTTGAGAGCAATATTAAATTTGTTCTTCCTATTACATGTATTAACATTTCTTTTCTCTTAAACATTAAAAAAACACAAAATGAATCTGCATATCCGTTGACATTTAATTTCTGAGCTCATAAACGCAAATGTTTTCTTTTCAATTTTCTTTAAAAGGTTTTACATACTTGAGCCTAGTTTGGTTGACATTGGTTAATTTCTAATTATTATCACAGTAATAAGATCTTTTCTGGTATTTAATTTTTTTCCTACATGAACCTATGATCTTTCACCTTCGACCTCTTACACCTTAAATCGAATCATTTAATCCTTGCATCATCGTACATAGGTAATATAAGTTTAGCTTGAATTGCATAGGTGAAATAATAAGTTATTGCGGTGACATCATATTTTATGGTATATTAAAAAAAAAAAAAAAAATTTTATGACCCTGTGACCTTTGCCCTCTAATGCTAAAAAAGAAAAGAAAAAATACTGACGAAAAAGGACGCAAAATGTGCAGAAGTTCTGCCATTTTTTTCCTCATGAATATGGTATACTTTTTAGGGCTTTGATTCAAGTTACTTGAGCAGAGGCAAAGAATGTGCAATGCTTGTCCCAAACGGGTTGAGCCTGTGATACCAGAACCCTACCAGCAAACACAGCCTTTCCTGTTGTCTATTTAGTACACACAAACAAAGCTTTGTACATGTAGTTACAGGGGGTTGGTAGATAGAGGTAACCTCTATTGATCCAGGGACTTGTCTCCCAAGTCCCTGATTGATCGCAGTACCCGGTCTTTCCTATTGTCTATTTAGTACACAATGAATGACTCACACTCTGTTGTCAATAGCTGAATGTCAAACAAAAGAGACTCCAAAGCTTCATGAAAAACCACCAAGTTCATCAATAGATTTACAAGCTGCTCAAAGCCCTAAATTGGTCTAAAGCTGGCACCATTGATTAAGGTAAACAAAAGCTTCTACAATTCTTAAGTCCTAGTGAGTATTTTAGGCTCTTGGAAGTTGGTGCATAGTAAAAGTCAATAGGATTTTGCCAGTAGCTCAACAACAGTTTATTTGCATTCACTATAGTTCTCCAGTCAATATATTTGTTTAACTCATGTCGTTACTGTACCACAAGTTGTCTGTTTTTAGAAGATATACATGTACATTAGAAAAACCAGGCTTAATATATCTCCACAAATCCACACTTAGATTTTACATTGTATATACCGGTAATATATAATCACAATAAACAAATTAGTGATACAACATTTGCTTGGATGATATTGGCTCTGGGTTTAATTTTGTTAAAATATGTAAGATTAAAGTTAGGGTAGTGATAATTACGATTAGGCTTATACCCTTTTCTAACTGCACCGATTTTCATCGGATGCATCCGGACGCATCCGATGAAAGTGCCAGTTAGAAAGCAACAGAGGAGAAAAAGGCGATTAAATAGCCGATGAAAAGAAGAGAAATAGGCGATTAAATTCTCCTGCTCTAGACCAGGAGAAATTCTCATTCTATCGGTGTGACACCGATGAAACGTGCAGTTAGAAAACGTTCGGGAGAAAAGGGCGATTAAAACAGCGATTAAAATGGTCAAAGGTCGCAGTATACGCGCGCTTTACCGTAACCAGCTGTGTTTGTTGACTTATGGTTGAACAAGCTGCATGCTAGCTAGATGGAGCGCGGGCTTAATAATTACGTAATAATTCTTCACTTCCGGCAAGGGCTCGCCACAGCGAGTGAATTTCACCGGCAGTTAGAAACCGACAGGGGGAAAACTGCGGTTTCACCTTTGTTTACATAAGGAAAATGCAATCGGTATTTTCATCGGTGTGACTCCGATAGAGTGCAGTTAGAAAAGGGTATTAGACTTTATGTTACAGTGTTTGGTCCATGATTACAATTGGGAATTTAGTTAATACAGGAAGATAAATCCAGAGCAAAAGTCGCCAGAGCATGTGTCGCAGAGCCTGCTTACATATCAGCTTACAAACCTGGGTTCAGAGTGGCAAACATACATGAAGTACCTTAGAGGGGTGTAAACTATTCTTACCGTTAACAATGATAGTCAGGAGACAGTCATAGAGGGGTTGTAATCGCTGGTGCCCTGATGTGATGATCTTATGGAATACCTGTATATTACACAAATAAAACTGTGTCAGAGCAATCTAGTGTGTTTGTACTTTACTAGTTGAAAACAAACAAACAACAACAACAACAACATCAACATTTTTTTTCTTCTACAAGAGTGTCTCACCAGAGTGAGGAACAATGGATGGGGCAAGGGAAGGAATGTGTATGACTGGGAAAAAAAAATACACTTCGCCCCAAAATGTCAAAAAGAGTCCCCTAAAATTTGCATATTCAATCCAAAACAAAAATAGCCCCTGAATTTTTTTCCCTGCTGGAGCTAAGATGCATTAAAGGTTTTGAAAGTGGCAATAATGCATGTAAAATATCTCTTGCCATGGGCTTTTATTCATATAAAAAAAGGGGTTTCTGGGCAATAATAAACTTTAAAAATAAATATAATACTTAAAACTACGACAACTCTCATGTTCCCACATTACTAGTCTACTAAATAATGAAAAGATGAATGAAGAAGGAAGTTCAGGGTATATCACAAACACATGGGTGTAATACTCATAATTCACAACAGATAATGTTGCCAGAATTCGTTCACATTTATTTGACACTGTCTAAAATGAAGAATTCCATAAAATATTTTACAAAAATATAAAAAAAAATAGACAAGATACAAAGAGGAAACCTCCTCTGACTTACAATGATAAGGAAATCAGCATGGGTGCCTGTGAAGACTGGAATGTCCATGGGTACGCGTACACTGTACGGCTTGTTGAGACGAACACCAAAGTTCCTCTCTCCGCTCAGGAGCAGGAGGATGAAAACACCAATGTGCATCAGACCAACGCGAGCTGTAAGAAATATTCACATCATAAAGGCTTTTGAATTTTCAGATTCTACCTTTAAAAAAATATAATTACTATAATAGAAGCAATGTCTTGTAAATCAAATTGTACCCATTATACATGAACATCTAACATTATTATGTCAGATTGTTCACATTCACATACACCTACATATCTGTCTTTGCATACAATATGCTAATCATATCAGTGGTTATTGCATGGGAACTAATTCAGTCTCACTGAAATTCACACACACTGCACACAGAAATGGGTATATGGGAATACGAACAAGGATGAGCATTTAATCAAATATTGTTTCTTGTCATATTTCAATTATGTGGGCACTTGAAGGGCCATCCTTTTGGGAGGATATTTCCAATATGGTATTCTTTCAAACTGATGTTTATAAAATAATGAGAAAGTTCACCTTTACCAGAAATCAACCATCTCTTTAATCTCAATGAAAATGAGTTGACTTACACTGATCAGCCCTTGCATCATTGAGATGGTAGAGGATTGGAACAAGAACTTCTAAGACATCACTGCTCTTCAGAACATAGAAGAGGAACTTCTTGTTGTGGTCACACATCTTCCAGAAGAGAACCAGTAACTCCTGGTGGAAGGCTATCTTCTTGGTGGAACCAGGGAGATAGGTCTAGGAAAAAAAAAATACAAGAACGCCATTATAATAGTTATTTTCCAGAAGACAGGTGCAGAACTTGAGGATCATCTTGTGGATATCATATCTTCAAGAAAGGAACTACTAACTCCCGGTGAAAAGGTATCTTCTCAGTGAAACCAGTAAGTTTTTTCTTAAAAAAGAAGTTAAAAGAAATAGTTATTTTCCTGATGTTAATTGGTAAATTCAGACTCCGAATAAAACAGTCTTTTGTGGAACAAGGCAGGAATATCTGGCTAAGGAATTTCAAGAAAGTTATAGCTATCCTCCAGAGTATGGACTGGTACTCGAGGACAAGGACAAGGAATTTCTTGTTGTGGTCATACCGGAAGTCCAGGGGAAATGCGGAGTTCACAGGTCACTTGTATTTCTATGCTAAATGCACACCAATGTCTTTCTGGCGAATAAGGAAACCCCTATTACAAGATTTGCTCCAGTGACAAATGCTCAGGCATGGTATTCTTAGATTGATTTCATCTCAGTGAAATAAAATACCCTTTCAATTTTTTTAAATTAGTATTCTGAGAATCATTTTAGTGAGATTTGATCTCACTAAGACATGCCCACTTGTGAACTGATATCCAAAAAGAAAAGTTGTAAGATGTTACTCTCACCATGCTCAAACAATAGATTCACTATCTGCCAATCTCTTGGGTGCAAGAGCATGTGATTGCATTATTCTTACAATCTTCAATACGCATGGGTCATAGCGCAATGCGATTACATTTTAAAACTAAAATAAAATATTTTCTAGAGATAAAACCAGGCTCAGAATACCATCACAAGGTTACATTTCATCAAAGATATTCAACTAGGGTAAGAATTAGGAATCATGTTTGGTCCAGGTTTAGTGACCTTCAGAGTAAATTTTGTAAAAACATGTATTAAAGATTCATAAAATTTCCCCATAATGCCAACAAAGACTAATGGAAAATTGTTGGTATCTTAAGTTGAAACACTGACCAAGATCATTGAATTTGTGAGGCATTGTAGGGCAAGCGCGACGAGCACCTACCAGAGGCAGAGACTGGTGCTACACAAGAAGCCATCATCATCATCAAAGTTCTTTTTCTTACCTGTATGAGGGGGTTGTTCAGGAGTCTTGTGATGCCTTTTAGGATAAAATGGAAGTCTTCCTCTCGATGGATGCGGGACAGGTAGTTCACAAACAAATTCTCTGGTAACACTCCCTAAAGCATAGGAAAGAAAGCAAAAGGTCATCTGGCGATTGCAGTTTGACGTGAGGTAAGAATGAACACATGATTGCAGTGACTTGAAGTGTCATTCAAGAATCACATGTTATAATGATCATCAAGCCTTGGAGTACTATTCCCATTATTTGTTAAAGAAAGTTTGCTTCAAGTATAACTTTTACAGTCTCTACAACATTATTTGAATGACCTGATTTAAGCTACATGGGCATATAATGATTTGCTCCGAGCTTAATTTAAAGATACAGGGTTATGTTTACAATTGGATTATAATTTAGGTTTTAGGTTAGTGTATTTTTTAGGGTTGATGTCTATGGTCACTGGAAATTTACTGGGGTGCAATCTTATATATATCTTGTTGACCTTTTGTAATTTTCATTCACACTAATTAATTTAATATACATATTTTTTTATTTTCGTATGAAAGAGTGGATAATATAAATAATTGTTGCCAATTTGAGGAGTAAAAGCTTAATTAATTTTGACCTTTAACCTTTAGAATACTCTGAACTGCTAAGGCTAATGAGCTGTGGTGAAGCTTACCTCGTGAACTTCTTCTGCACCGTCTACGGATGATGCAACATTGTGAGGGTTTGCGTGATCGAGGGTAACGACCAGGATCTGTGAAGCGATCTCAACCAGCGGTTCTCTGGTGTCCGAGAAGAGTAGGTGATTGTATGGCATTCCATAGCCCACAGGGTCGTAGGCACAGGCTATGTTTATCATAGAGGTGAACAGGGGAAGGGCGTGTCTGAAACAAGAAAGGAAAGATATCATATTATTATCATATTTTTCTCAGAAGGGGTATATGCCAAGGGGTAGGGTACATGTAAGTTTGGAACAAGATGGGTAGACATTGATGTTGTATGTGATTGTATGGCATTCTCTATCCTACAGGGTCATAGGCACAGGCTATGTTTATCATAGAGGTGAACAGGGGAAGGGCGTGTCTGAAACAAGATGGGAAAGATATCATTTAATTACATCTATCAGTGTTTTTCTGCAATACTTGATGCTTATTTCAATATAACATATCCCACATGGCACTATAGACAAGTTTGTAGTTACATGTAGCACATCTAGTACAAATGATCCCAAATATCCACTGATCTTTTATACATGGAGTAGCCCCATTTTGTGATTTTAGAATAACTGCTGCCAAAGTCATGGACGTGCTTCATGAATACCTTTTTGTTTGCTCTCTTTTGAAGAATACTTCCAAATGCGTTCCTTACGCTCAGTGCATATTGATTACATCACTTTCATGAGCATGTATCCAGTATTCATCTTGGTGAAATCAACAATTTTGGTACAAATGACCTTTATCTGCCGATGAGCAGATTGTATAGATCTACAGACTGGCTTATTGAATCTTGTCCATACCTTTCAATCCATTCAAACTGAACAGTCCTGACTCACCTGTTGTCTGATGAGCAGAAGAAGCTGATCCACTGATTGGGCAGGCTGTGTGCATCACCTATAAATAATACAGATATAAAATTGTAAAAACATACCACAATAAATGACAAAAATATAAACAACAATATTCCACATAATGCAGATCTAAGGTTATTAAAGGTTTAAGAAGATAAAGAGAATCATGTCAGATGATGCATATACCACTCATTCATCCATAATATATGCCTTCCACGTTCAGTCTCTCCCTTCTCTTCATCCGTCTTTTTGTTCTTTTCCTTACTGTTTTACTTCTATTTTGACCCACATACCTTATATTATGATGATTCACATTTACCATGCCAAATAAAATATGACTCTGTTATTCCTTATAATATAATGGTATATTATTGTTATGAATTGTTATACATACATGTACATGAACATGTATGCATTTTTATTGTATTTGTAAAAATGGTTCAATTCAGCTTAGGTTGAAAGGCAGACTTTAAATAAATACACCATTAAATAATATGAGAGTGCAATGTTTCCTATGCACACTTCACAATAGAAGGGAAACAGAGAGAACTACATTTGTACATGTACATGTATAAACATTTCATCTGATTCCATTAGCACTTTGTAGAGACCTCTAATAACATGTTATGAGTAAACAACCACATTGTACCAGTACAAAAATTTACTAATTACAAGGATTTCTAGAACCAATAATAAATCTGAATAATTGCTTCTGCCTCAAATGCAGGCATGCTTTTATTTGTTTTATCTCTAAAAACTGTCAGCTACATGTGCACACATTGCATACAGGAAATATCACCTCTTCATTGGACAAAACCTGGGTCCAGAGAGGCAACTGCAGACAAAATACCTTCAATCTGTACAGGCCTAATCATCATAAATTCTGAATCAGGAAGTCTTTACTGAAAGGAAACACTATACGGCAGTACCATCATATCATCAGCAGGTCATAGCTCAAGTGACGCTTCACAAACCACTTCAAGAGCCAGTTCAAATCCATCGTATTACTATTCTCACTCATTAAAAAAAGAAGGTTACTTGATATGACTATGAGCATGGCAGAATTAATCATCAACGCATTAGCATTTTGTAGGTTGTATCATTTAGATGGTAGAGAAGTAAAATGTTTATTCATATTACTTTTCTTTCATGAGTCAGTTGGAACAGCAAATTTTGTGAGAGATGGAGGCAGAAACAAGATGGAAATATCTTTGTAAACAGTGTCTGTCAAATGTACAATTGATGAATAAATAAATCATGACCTAATAGAAACCGATAAAAAATTAAAGCATGAAACTTCAAACTTCAGCCTATTGGATATCTCTAAATAATGATATACATGCAGGTTAAAGTCGACGATTCGATGATGAGCTCATACTAGCTGGAGTGTGAGCTGTGTTTCATAGACACAGGTTATTAGCTGAACTGAACATCACCTCTAAATAATGATATAGGTTTAATGTTGACAATGTGATGATCAGTACTTACTAGCTGGAGTGTGAGCTGTGTTCCTTAGACACAGGTTATTAGCTGAACCGAACATCACTTGTAAGTTTAATGTTGACAATTTGAAGATCATAGCTGGAGTGTGAGCTGTGTTTTTTTTTGTGCCAAAATAGGGGTGCGCCTTATACACAGGTGCGCCTTATACACAGAGATTTACAGTACTAGCTGGAGTGTGAGCTGTGTTCCTTAGACACAGGTTAGTAGCTGAACCGAACATCACCTCTAAATAATGATACAGGTTTAACGTTGCTAATTTGATGATGAGTACTTACTAGCTGGAGTGTGAGCTGTGTTTCTTAGACACAGGTTAGTAGCTGAACTGAACATCACGTCTAAATAATGATATAGGTTTAATGTTGACAATTTGATGACCTCACACTAGCTGGAGTGTGAGCTGTGTTTCTTAGACATGGGTTATTAGCTGAACTGAACACGACCACTAAATAATGATATCGGTTCAATGTTGCCAATTTGATGATGAGCTCACACTAGCTGGAGTGTGAGCTAAGTTTCTTAGACACAGGTTATTAACTGAACCAAACACGACCTCTAAATAATATCGGTTTAATGTTGCCAATTTGACGATGAGCTCATACTAGCTGGAGTGTGAGCAGTGTTTCTTAGACACAGGTTATTAGCTGAACCAAACACGACCTCTAAATAATGATATAGGTTTAATGTTGACAATTTGATGACCTCACACTAGCTGGAGTGTGAGCTGTGTTTCTTAGACATGGGTTATTAGCTGAACTGAACACGACCACTAAATAATGATATCGGTTCAATGTTGCCAATTTGATGATGAGCTCACACTAGCTGGAGTGTGAGCTAAGTTTCTTAGACACAGGTTATTAACTGAACCAAACACGACCTCTAAATAATATCGGTTTAATGTTGCCAATTTGACGATGAGCTCATACTAGCTGGAGTGTGAGCAGTGTTTCTTAGACACAGGTTATTAGCTGAACCAAACACGACCTCTAAATAATGATATCGGTTTAATGTTGCCAATTTGACGATGAGCTCATACTAGCTGGAGTGTGAGCAGTGTTTCTTAGACACAGGTTATTAGCTGAACCGAACACGACCACTAAATAATGATATAGGTTAAATGTTGGCAATTTGATGATCAGTACTTACTAGCTGGAGTGTGAGCTGTTTCTTAAAGGTGAAATTCAAAGAAAATCACAAATATGTCAACTAATGTATCACCAGAAACTGGTAAGCTAGCAGATGGCCATCGTACAAGTTTTAGGTCAACTACATATCGGGTGATTTATACAAATACAACCACCTCCATAGCAGCTGGGATATATACAAGAGATTTGCCGGAAAAAATAACGATGTTTAATGACGTCACTATATGGACCAATGCTGCCCAAGCAGACGACACCCCATAAAGAATGAAAATAAGTGCAAAGCTATTATTTGTCAAATTATAATGGCCCGAATTCACAAAGGAGGTTTGTCGTCAAACCTTGGTTTTCGTACGTCATATGACGCGTTTTACGCGTTTTTTACAAACCTGGTTTGTAAAGAACAAAAGGAGGTTTGGCGAAACAAAAGGAGGTTTGAGCTCAAACCTTGGTCTGAGCTCACACCTTGCTTTGTGAATTCGGGCTAATGAGTTCAGTGTATATACATGTAATGGCATGTCAAACCATTCAAAAGGGGATACGACCTGATTCTGATAACTAAGATCTTTTGCTTGTGAAAACACAGAATAGGAGTTAATTAACAATCAAAGAAACCAGATTTTTAAAGTGAAAACCCCGCGGAATGATACTTAGGACGACATTTGTTCCCTCTTGAAACGCTGAACATATCGGGATGTGTGCAGCTGAATAAACAATGGCGTCTTATTTTGTTTACAAGCGTTAGATTCCTTTATTTTTGTATCGCTGCATTTGTCATCAAAATAAAAACATGTGCGGGGTTTAGAGTGAGGCAATAGATTATACATTTAGCCTGACGGTAATGAAGTAAGAGAAAGAACTCAAGAGAAGATGAAAACACAGGCACTGAAAATGTGTGAGATGTCATGGGACATCGTCTGCTTGTGCAAATCATGTCCATACTGTGATCTCACACATCTCAGCAGTGTTCGGAGAGCTCTTCAGGTGCTATGCCGGGGCTGTATTTAAGCATTTTGTAATTTATAATAATCGTTACTTCGAATGTTTCCAAGCATTGAATTTTGATACACTTGTCGAATCAAAGTTTCAATTTTGCAATAATGAAAATAAAATTAGTTTTTAAAATCAATGAATATCTACTTTAATAATAGACACAGGTTATTACATGTAGCTGAGCTGAACATCACCTCTAAATAATGACACAGATTTAATATTGCCAATTTGATGATCAGTACTTACTAGCTGGAGCAAGGTACATGGTTTCTGAGAAGCAGGTAAGGAGAAGCTTAAGGATCTCAGTCCGATTCTGATCCAGGTGGGCAAAGTGGGGCGGGGCGGTAGCGCACCCCACCCCGGCATCCCAGATGTACTCACAGCTGTCTATGGATTGAGGGTCCTCAGGCTTCTCCTATCCATGGGCAAACAAGTGGGAAAGATAATACGAACCATGGTTATTATACACGTTCATTATCATCATGTGAATACAAATCAAATTTTTGGCACATGTCTAATTACAAGCAGGCTGGAATTCAGCAATAAAACACCAGACAGCAATAAACATAAGCAGTATTTTGTTGTTGTCGACCTTGTGATGTTTTGAATGTTATCATCTTGCCTGGAAATAAAATAATCATCATGTTTGGCAACCTGTCTAGAAGTTGAACCCGGGACCTCATCTACACATGTACCTGAAACAAGAATTATACCACTGTATGATATCTCTTTATTTTTTCTTAGGTCGATCAATGGAAGCAACAGGGGATTACCACAGTTGACTAAAGATACATCCCCCAAACATATTACGCATACACAAATCTTTGAATCTTAAAATATCATTTAATTCTTTGTTGGCCAGCGATCAGAACCCTGAACACTTCAAAGCAGACAACGGCCTCATGACTGTGCGATTCTTGGCATTGTTATCACGTTTGTTGCTTATTTGACTTCAAATTCATATTCTAGACCCTTTTAATAAAACAAATGTTAGATATTTACACATTATACACATAAATCAAGTCTTCTTCTTAATTAGATTGCGACTTCACCTGTGTGCATTGCATATTTACTATTAAATGAACCTGCAAAAAATGAATTAATTGTATAATGTGTTACATATTTTGCTACAAATATCCAGTTTGAGTCAGATAGATCAATCACATTCACAATGGACTGGGCATCTTGTAATACATGTACTTACAGGTCCAGCTTTCTTGGCAGCTACCACGGTGAAATCAGGGCAGAAGAGAAGGTCTGACAGAGCAGCCAGGAGAGACTGAGCCAGCGGTAGAGATTCCTCATCGCTCTACAAGGATAGATAGCAATCATACAAATGGTCAGATATATTCAATGCTGTCTTGATATGAAGAATTCTGTAGGCAATGGTCAAGTTGAAGACATTATTACTTTATGAACTGAATATTAATATGCAACCTACTATAAAACACTGAATTCCAATTTGTTGCATTAATGCGAACAACACATCATACAGGCAAATAAAAACTCACATATATGACATGTATAGTGTACATGATGCTGTAAAACATTGCTCAAACTTTAATAAATATTCACACATACATGTATAGTGCATGGTCCTACTTTCTTTTTCAGTCAAACATTGTGTTCAAAATCTTTTGGAATTATTTTGGTTTATATTTATAGCACAGTACAATATCTACATGTACAAATTCATGATAACATGTACATGTATATATGAGGAACGTTTTGTTCTATTTTACTCTAATTTCTTTGTTTCATTTGATGTCTTTACAGTACGGCGAGCCTCCGAAAAGATCATGTACCTCTCATACACTTCTTGAGTGTGCTTAATAGGAGAAAAATTAATATCGGGTTTGGAATGTTGACAACTTGACACTGTAATTATATACTACAAGACTTGTTAGTATGGCAAACATATGAACACTCGGGCCCAAATTCACAAAGGAGGTTTGTTGACAAACCAAGGTTTATGTGCGTTATACGACGCGTTTTTACAAACCTTGGTTTGTAAAAAACAAAAGAAGGTTTGTCGAAACAAATGGAGGTTTGTCGACAAACCTCTTTTGTGAATTTGGGCCAATTTGTTTGGCTCTAAACATTGTACACATTGGGGAGTGGGGGGGGGGGGGCGGAGAGGAAGTTCTCTAGATCTATACAAGATACACTGCAAGATAAGCAATAATAAATTTCTACCACTAGTGCACTGCAGTACATCAGACTTTTATATATTACACAATTTTGTTTTCTTCTCTAAGCTGTAAGACAAATTAATATAGTAATTACAAGTAAACAATAGAAGAAAAAATAGGGCACCAGTGATAAAAGTGTAATTCAAAAGGATAAAAAAAGAAGAAAATAGCATAATAATTTACTCAATTTGTGATATGTCTGTGAGTCACATGAACTCCATGAAAATATGTTCAGGACAAATATTTTTCAATTTCACGAGACGGTTAAATAGTGCTGTAGCCCATGACCTCATCAGGGTGGTTCACATTTTTACAATATACCATTTTAGAATATTGTCAACCTGTTGCCTAATTTTTCAAAATAAAATATTTACAATGTATAAAGCTCCAAATCATTTTATAACTCCAGTAGTACTGCGGGGCTCGACATTAACAGCTGCCTGGGACACACGGGCACCCACAGTTGAAGTCCAGACCCCAATTTAAAAAAAAAATGTGTTCATATAATAGGGCTCATGCACACAGACTGTAATCTATGATTTGGACCCCCTTCAAATCAAAAGTTAGCGTAGAGCTCTGTGTACTGTAAATGTATAGTAGGTATTTGATTTCTCACAAAATGAAGTACCATTTGGGGGACTCCTTGAACTTTAGTATCTAAACAATCAAGTCAATATGTTTGATGACCTCCTTGACCTTTACCGAGGCAAAGGTCAATTAATAATATCTAACTACTCGCGATGACTGCATCTTTCAAAAAAGACCATGGCAGGAGTGTAAAAGCTCACTTCACCTTTTTTAAACTTTCCTTTTAAGTCCTGACACTTAGTTGAGACATACAGTGTAATAGACCTCCAAATCGGTATTCTGAATGCTGACTTAGTGCTCAATGAAATCCTGCGAATAAACATGAGGAATGCAAGAAAAAAAATGCTGTGTATTTAAAAACTAAGGAGATCTTTAATGTTATTTTTGTTACTTCAGTGCTAACAGCGTTTTCAGAATACCCAAACTCTTCTTTCCACTACTGCGCACACATCACATTTGTGCAACATGGCATACGAGCAACGCACCTCCTGCCAACTAGAAATGGGGACATACATGTAAGTGAGCTTTCAGAATACCGATATCCTAATTGAGCGCTATGCCTCCACATGTCAAAAAAGTGCATTAGATTAGAAATAGTGCAAAAGTATCAAATGATTGTGACCAAATGCAGATTCTGTAAACTGGAGAAAAAAACAAACACTCTGAGTTAGAAGTCATACCAGGGAATATGTCCCTTGAAGTCAAACAGAATTAATTCATGTTAATCAATGGACTGCAAACTGAGTTGAGTGGAAAAATCTCAAATGGTAGGTGTACAAACCAGCCTCAGGAAATTATCTTTTGGCAAATGGAGATCAACATCGCATAGCAGCTGTGGTAACTACAACAACGCAGACAAAATGGGGAAAAATAATAATGTCATAAAAGTGTACAAATTATACCAGTTTTCGGTATTTGCCAACCCTACTACTGTACCGGTACTTACTTCACAGTGGGAAAGAGTACATGTATGAAATAAATAATAAAACTGAGATAAATCGTCTTAAAGCTTTAGCTCTAAAGTACAACTTGTCCAGTCAAACAAAAAATAACATTCTAATTCTGTGAAAGACACAACTCTCTCTACTCTAAGCAATTATATGTCCTTCAACATGAAAGTATTATCTTCGGTTAAATGTACCAATATATTTGTTTGCAAAAGAAATCTTACAGTGAATGAGAAAAAGAAAAAAATTCAGGTGCAAGGCACATCAGTCGTGAAGATTCATAAATATGCACATGTAAACACAGCTGATTGGGTCCGAGTCAAAACTTCCATGTGAATGACGTTTGTAGAATTTCATTTTATGACTACAAGTTTAATAGAAATGCTACAAGCTGATATATAGTTCTGGTACAAGAAATAATGACTACAACACAAAACGAACAGTAACCATGACGTTGCTACGGCAATGTACCAAGTGCAACAGATTTTTGTCCAGTGGTGGACATCTTTGCAAATTAATAGCCTCTACATTCTTCTTCTTCTTCTTCCTTTTTGAGTATGGACCTCTTTACAGAGTATTATCGTACTATACTGGGGGTGTGTGCATTGTATACATGTACAAATGTACAAGAAAACAACATTGCATTAAAGGAACGTTGTATAGAGATATGAATTTTGAAGAGGTCAACTGACACTCAAGATAAGCCCCGCCCAGTTATATGATTTTCATAAGGTAGGACATTCAGACTATTGCGGGATGTTGATTTTTCATCAACTTTTTGTTAGAAACGATGCTCAAACATGCGTTTCACTATATGTTTCATAATACCATGTTTTTTTTATACGGCATTCAGACTACCGTAAAAGAAAATAATAATAATACGATTCTTGTATAGACATTTTTGTACTTTTGAGTAAATTCTGAGAGGCACAAGCCTGTATAAAGGGCAATACTATTGCATGAAATTCTCATCTATCAACAATAACAGGAAAAGAGGGTGATATTTATAGGCCAAAAAAAAAGTGGAGGAGAATGAAGACTTCTCTTTGAGGAAAATGCATAGTTCAGCACAGAAAAAAACTTAAGGCCAAAAAATGTCATACTCTAATTTACAAATTGTATACAAAAGTTCAACACTGTTGTAAAACAAACGGCTAACATTAAATTAGGGCTACATGTATATCTATGTGCAAACTAAATGGCAAAGCAGACTAGAAGTATCTTTTTTCATTCATTAGCATTTATCTAGAAAAATTGGAAGCTAGTCTTCTTACTTCATTGCTAGCGATGCATTTAGACAACTAAAACAGTGCTACTTACTGTACTAACACAACAGTGACTACAGGACACTAGTGTAAAGGAACATCTTGATGGCTTATAATATCAAGTTGACTATTTTTTCTTTTATTATTCCATTGCAGTAAAGACCTACTTGATTTTTTAGATGACAACCAACATGAAATCCATGTCGTGTACATGTAAGAAGGCCTCCAAGAATGAATATTTTGGTTCGAAGACTCTTCGTGATTTGCAAACTCCCAGAAAAGTAGAAGAACCAGAGACCAAATAATATACTTTTGTGGCCCATAGGTCAAGAGGATGTTGCCACTTTGAGATGTGACAAAAGTCATCATACAATGTAATGATCTAAAAGCGTATAAAATCCTGATTTTCAGTTCCTACATGTACAGATGCAAGTTTTGTGAGCAAAATCAGATGACTAGGGGCGAAGCAGGGCTAGTGCAGACAAAATTATTTGAAGCAACTCTACAAGTTAGTGGAGGAAAAAAAAACACAGCAAACTTACAAAATCATCCAACCCTTCCATGTTTGCCTAGTTATGAGAAGGAAAAGCAACCATGAAGGAAAATGAAACAGGAAAAAGGTCAATGAATCCATATTATCCATAAACCATGCTTGACAGAAGAGTAAAAACCATGTTTAAAGATAGAAAGAGAAAAGTGACACCTCAGTTAAAAAAATAATTAAAATTTCTCAAATGAAATGGCAAGTTCCAATCGATTGCTTTAAAACACATGAAACATGGGTGCAGCATATTTTGTGAAATATATTAAGAAAGATCATACGCAAGACCACAGATAAGTTATGATTGATTTCCAACATGCGTTTGATTTGAGCTATTGTATTCAGACAGAATTTTCATTTGATATCTTTGAAGAAGGATGAAATTAAAAGGAAGGCCTGCAGGAAAGAGATTCCAAATCATGATTACATTCTCAGTGTCAAGAGCCAGTGCAAATAAAAAGAATCCATTTACAAACAGCTTTCTTTTTTTTTTTTTTGGGGGGGGGGGGACGTTTTTATAAGAGATTAAAGGACAGTTTGGAGGATGAGGATGATATAATAATATCCAATAATATACAGATGTGTAGGATTAGGGCTTATACACTGTACAGGTACCTTTTTAGGACTGCAACAGGTACATCATTAACAAAACAAAAAAGTATATTTATATATTTCCCTTTCATTCGATTAATATCAAGTGAGGATGAGGAATGACATCTGTCAGTCAGCTTTATTGAAGGAAATTATTCACAATTCTTGTCTTCTATACAAATTGTGATTTTTGTTGCATATCTTGTTTTTACACGAGAAGGAATATACATGGTGTATCCTTTAGTGTTTTTAGAATGCAACTATCAAAGTATGTACATGAAGAAGATAAATGTTTGCTGGGAATTTATTCAGGCTGCAAAACTTCTTTTTCGTGGATGCTGTACTGTAGTACCCCCTTGCAAGCTGAACATCTTATATAAGCTACTCACCGATTGGCCGGGTAACGTAGACCAGAAGAATCCTCTCCAATCAGGATCCTCAAAGATGTAAGGGAGTATACGGGTGAGGAGGCGGGCCGCATTGAGCACCACCTGTTGGTCTCTAGGGGCGGAGCATCCAGACTCAGCAGCAGAAACCAGCTTCTCTACAGCCTTCAAGATGCAATAAGAAGGGGTAAATTAAAATAATGAAAAATAATAATATATTAATTTTGGTAATATCCAGAGAAGTCTCATCAGCTTCTATGCTGTTCTAAATGAGGACCCTGCAATCATCACTACCCCATCAGCTGCCAGGTACATGTACGCATTTACACCTGGGTGGAGAGTGGCAAATGCGTATTAATGTCTTGCCAAAGGAAGTGAGCGACGGGCTTGGATTAGAACCCTCAACCCTTGGATTGAGAGTTGAGTGACTGAGCCACTACACCACAACGCCTTTATTTAGTATCAGTTCGCTACATGTGATGGATCAAAAGGAAATAATACAAGCTAGAAAATGAAGAACTGGGAGACTGAATTAATCAACTAGTGCTGAAGCAAGAGTACTTATAATGGAGTGCTTAGTTTGCTTTTAGAACTTAGAACTGAATACTGCTAGTGAATTCATACATTTCTAAATTATTTCAGATTAATTTCATGGCTCAATTTGTTGTGAGTGAAACAGGATACTACCTGTGGTACTGCAAAAATTAATGCCTTACTGAAGTGTGTGATCATTTTGAGTTGGTTTTGCAACTGGGTCCAAAGATATTTTTCTTTTTATCAATGAGCTACTGAACATTCTTTTCGTGGTGAAGAAGCTCTTTTCAGGCAATCCAAAATATAACAATTGTTCAGCAGTTTCCACATTTGAATAACTATTTGAACATTTTTGTATTTCAATTGACTTCATTCACATAAAAAATTCAACTTTAACCCTAATGGGAGACATTTTTATACTTGGTCACTTTTTCACTTACAGTAAGTCTTCTTTTAAAGGGTTTTAGATGCCATTGTCATTATCCCCAACTGTAGGAGTGTATTGTAATGGAAGGAGGCTACACTTTATGCTCCAATTAATACCCAAGTGCAGACACAAAAGAATCAGGGCCCTAGCTGTTTTATATAACTTGTTATCAATAGCAAAAGCTAAAATGATATATGCAAATTAGCTCTCAGCCAGTTGCCACGATTACAGTTATTGTAACTTGTTTGTAATAACAAATTCAATGAAACAGGGCCCAATTCAGAAATTGGACTATACATGTACCTTGTAGCAGAGAGTTGCTAGATTGGATGGTGATTCTTCTCTGAGCGCTCTGATCTCAGCGGCTGGGATGAGTGCAAAGACATCGGTCACACTGGTAACGCTGTCAGCCCAAAACTGGTCCCAGAATGCATCATCACCTGCTTCTACAGGCTGTGATATATAGGAGCCGAGCAGAGAGAAACAAAAATCAGAAAGAAAAGACATGATTTAAAAGAAAAATTAGAACACTTTCTTACCAGTCAAGTTATAATAAATCTGGGGGAAAAGAAGAAAAGAAGAAGTAAAAGAAGACGATGATGAAGAAGAATAAGAAGCATCTACCATGAGCTACGTTTGGAAATCTTTTGATTTGCGGATGTCTAAAATATAACAGCAAATTTTGTGTCGTTCGTTACAAATGTGCGCTTCCTAAAAGTTTTTAAATAAGATTAATTTCCAGAAAATTTCAAAATGACAAAAAATGTGCTAATATCAATAAACTTTTTGGCATTCTGCTCCCCTCCCCATCTCCTCTCATTATTTCATGTACCGGTATTCATTCAAATTAAGAAATGAAACTCAATTCATGTTAGTGTAAAAAACTCATTAAGAATCATGACAAACATGATTAACTAAGACCTAAAATGAAGTCCATTCTTTTAAAAGAAAAATGCAAAAGTTAACAATTGATATTTTGAATAACACAGCACTTGGTAACCTTAAAGTTTGACAGAGAAAAAAACTGATGAAAAAAATGAAGTCCCAAGTTATTCATTTATAAAAATCAAACAAACTTGGTTGCTGATTTCCATCTTCCTCATACATGATAGATTAGTATACTCTAGAGGAATAGAACCTCTACTGCAATGCCAGACAGTGACTTAAAAAAAAAAAAATTGTTTATCGTGCTTCCTTAAAAAAAATTCTTCTTCCAAGGAAAGTGCTGCCTCAATTATCAAGGCAAGTTGAAGATTTCGCACTTTAAGTCATGATCGAGGTGCACGTGGAGGAGCACAAAATTACATTTTATAGATAATACAAAAAAAAACTCGAATAATTAATAGGACAAATAATGACAGAACAAAAATAATAAAACATGAAATACCTGAAACTCTCCCTCCCCCTCCCCTAAAATAAAAAAAAAAACCTCCCCTTCTCCCTCCCCCCGGCCCCAAACTGCCAAAGAACCCTTTGTATATTTTTGTTTTGTTCCTAATATTAATAATACAGTTTATTGATGTCTCATTAAACACATCCAAAATCCATAATGATGGACAGTGCCAGTGCCAGTGGGTCTACCACACTCCACCCTCACTTTATTAGACACTCTACCACTACCACTACCATGCACTACCACAAGTGCCACTGTACCAGCTGTACCTCGATTATTACAACTCAATACATGCATGCATATTAGAGAACGTGTATGATGTTGACGTAAAACTAGAATTAGAAATCACCTGTGTTTTCGTCGTCAGCTGTACAACTGCTTTCCTAAAATTCAGCTTCGAGTCTGAACTTCCCATCTCGAATGTAGAATGCTGATGACCGTCCTGCTCGTCACAATTTCATCAATTCCTTCTTTAAACGTTAGATATGAAAATTATGTTAGCTTGAACATTAATTTACGTGGATTTGGATCGTAGCAGAAATCAACGTAGCACGAAAACATACACGATGACGTCAGGAAGTAGTAAATGTGAAAGGTCATGTATTTCCGTTGACCTCAAGTGTGGGCGGGTACTTCTAATGGAAGCGCAATTCTTTTGGCCAATCACGGCCGCCGAGGCTCATAACGGACGTAAACACAAACGGCTGGCATGTGTATTCATTGAAATCAGACGCGCTAAACTTGAATGAATGAATGATGCACCCATTCACAGCTAACTGAAGGCGGCCGCTACCAACGATATGTGTAAATATTTTTCAAAATTATAGCTCTTTTTCTACTTCTGAGTGCAGCTAATCGTCTTCTCAAAAGATGAGGGGTAAGATACATACAAGTTTTAACCATAGTTTGAATAATGAGCAGTGAGATGTCTTTTAATTCAGGTTATAAGGGCTTTGGTAAGTAAGTCCATTCTTCGAGTTTGAAAGCCGCTTATGCAGTCGTTGGTGGGAAGGCACGCCGACACTCCTGGGTGCGTGTTGAGCCGTTGGCCTTTAAACCGTTGGGGAGCTGGAGCGCGAGCGACTGGCTTTTGAGTTTTGACTCTTTCCCCCGACAACTTCGACTGTAATACAAAATATTGTTCTTTTTGTGCATCTGTCAAGTGTAGATAGTCTATCTCCCCAAACAATAATCCTTAAATGTAGGTCTATTCGTATCAATTAACATTTTCAAAATGCTAAGTGACCATTTGCATTTGAGAGTGAGATTCTGATCACAAAGATGAAGTGATCGACAAGTGTTTGATTTGCCATTTCCCCATTTGAAATTTGATCAGCAGATCAAGGGATTAGTCAATTTTGTTATGAGATTACATAAATTTTACAATTTGAATATCCTTCCCTTACAACTGCACAGAGCCGTATGCAGGATTACAGACACACTAAATGTTTTGTGCCATTTCATTCGTCCATGATTTTGAATTTTTCTTTGCTGAAAACTTTCAAGAATTTGAAAATTATGCCAAACAAAATGCACAGATTGACATGAAACGTGGTAGGTCTATGTATGTACTCAACAGTATTTTCAACAAAATCTGAAAACGAAAATCAAATTATTTGAATGGGTACTTTCTGAGAAGATCGAAACACCTCCAGACACTCTTTTTAAAAGTTAGGATGAAAACCTTCTTTCGTTTTGTGCAAGGTCTCATAATCTCATTTTAATTTTATTCAGCAGTTCATGTTGTTGAATGTTGATATAGGTATGAATTAAGATAAAAGCATAATTATATACAAGCAAACAAAGTGTACTAAAATTAATGCCTTTATGAATGAATAAGATGAATATTAACAGACTAGGGGGCCCTGAAAATTATAACTAGGGTCTAACAGTTTCCAACCCATGCAGTAAGTTGTAAAGATTATCGATCTGTTATGATTTGTAGATACTTGTAGCCGAACCTTGCCTGCAAGGTCATCATCTGAGATGACCAAACAGTCACCGATGTCGTTGTCGTCGAGGGCAACAAGTCTCCACGTACGGGTTCTCAGGAGCAACAGTAAGCTGCCAAAAACCATGCTCACTGACCTCCCAGATGAACTCCTCATCTACCTACTGAAATTCCTTCCTATGTGTGATCTCCAGAATATGTATAGAGTAAGTATACATGAAGGGGATAATGGATATGGGATTTATCTACCTTTAAAGAGGTTGCTCAGTCGATTTCTATGATCTCATTTCAATTTTTATTTTTATATTCAGTTATTTAAATACGACATTTCAGATCCATTTAGATAAGAGATGAGATAGTTAGCACAATCCACTGTGGTACATGAAGATGTCAACTTTATGAAGTACGCCATAATGCTAACCGCTAACCCCACCATTTATTTGTTCTTCTTTATAAAACACAGATAAGCAAACAATTCAAATGGCTGCTAGACTCTACCCCAAGGATATGGGCCAATGCCAGTGTCGTAGGGAGGTGGCCCTCCAACTCAACTGAAATGGAATGCTTCAACAGGTAGGTACCTCTACAAATAAAGGATGCCATACAGTGGTACTCTTTTCCATCTGGTTATTAAAGTCAAATGACTTCTGGAATGATTATAATTTTAATCTCCAAATGTTGCATAAGGGTAAAAAACCACTCGATAAACCTATCCAACATGTACAGAACAGGTTACTGATTTTATTAAACACACCTGCCAGTAGCCAAAATTCGCTATACAAAAGACATTTGATATTGTACTTGCTATACATGTACATTATCAGGACAGACATGCAGCATATTCCTGCATATATTATTGGAATGTACTAATGCAATTAAAGAAGGATGGCTTTGGGTAATTTAATTGATTTTGAATGAAATAGTTGTAAATCGTATGAAACCATCATTGTTTCCAAGTGATGGTTTAGATACGTCACCCTTGATTTAGACTATATTCCTAAATTTTTATTATACTTTAAAAAAGTTTATTGATTTTTTTCTTTGTGTTCATTATATTTTTTCTACAGGGTTGCTGAATTAGGAAACCTGGAAGCATTGATTAAACTTGGTGTAGCATATTTGTATAGTGAAGGAGGTGAGAAATAAAAGAAACTTGTATAATGGTTTTGTAATTATATCAAGGAATGTACATGTACAGCCTCTTCAAGACTTAATTAATATATCTTGAATGTCAATTTGGTAACCGTGATTTCAAGTTCAGTCTCTCATAAGTATTGATCCCTATCTTCTCCATATCCATTCAAGCAACAACCAATAGAAATGTTTCAGTCATTGGTCTAATTATATAGGTACACAATATTGTGAACAAAACAATAAGTATGCTTGATAATCAAGTATCGTTTGTCTTCTTGTTTATGATATTCATGTATAGTTTCCTTGAGATTCCTCTGCTTTATGTTTTTCAATATATATCTAATTTCATTTTCAGTTGAGTCTTCCTTGTGTAAGGACGGGAGCAGAGCCGCCAAGTACTTTTCCAGCGCAGAGAAATTAGCGCCTTGTAGTAGTCCCTTCACATGGCTTCTCATCCGTCCCCCCTGGAGCAACTGTGGAACATGCTGCAAAGCTAGGGTCTTCCAAGGCATGAAAGACATTTCTAACGAATCAAAGGTAAGATTTGGTCTTAAAGATGCATGTACCGGTACAGTAGAATGCTTGCACAAAGAATTTGACACCATTCAGATTTTTACCCAATAACAGGTGTTGTCGGTCACCAAGATTAGCCTTTAGTTGTTTGACCAACACGGCCTTATGTAATGCCTTTTATTTTTCATTCATTTCAAAATATGGTAACGTCATTATCTTACTTTTTTCCTCACCCGAAGACACTGAGAGAGACGAGGGGGGTATTTCTTGATAGACCTACAGGTTTGGTGTCTGGTGTCAGCAAATTATGGCCTTCTGCACATGGAAAATGAAGACCCTCTCTTTAAATATTTAAATCTTCAGTGGGTTGAACGAAAAAGTAACACTTGCGGATGGAGGATTTCTTTTGCCAGTTTTGCAGAGACATGGGATAGAAGAGTGTAGAAGTACATGAGATTTATAGCTGTTTGTCTTTTATTAATTTTTTTGTAACATGTAATTATAATTTTCTTATTTACAGGAAGCTGACAGATCAGTACTATTCTGCCTTGCCAAGCTGCATTCATTCATTGAGGTAGGTAATTCTTCCTGACTTTCATGCATATTATCATGTATCATTGTAATATGATTGAATACATACTGGTTTGCTTCTCCGGCCCCACTCTTACAAAGTTTGTGAGCAATCCACATTAGCAGCTCAAATTAAGTGTTATTAGTTGCATCTCCTAACAAAAGAAAAAGAAGAAGAAAACAGGAGTTGCAAAGTTGAGGTTGATTCAGATAAATTGCTATGTTTTATATGACATGTTATAATGTCTAAATAACTTTTCAAACAATAATGCCCATCCAAGGTTATATGATGGTCAGGTCAAAGGTCGAACAGATCAATTGACATTGGGTTTTTGTTCTGAATTTAGGCAGAGGTGTACTGCATTGCATTTCTCTTGTTTACTCTGAGTTAAAAACCTAAACTTCGAGAGATTCTTCTTTTACTGGAGGTCTCCTACCCCTACCCCCTTTTTCCCCCTCACCTTTGTGCTTTCATGGTCAATGTAAAGAATGTTATCTATATCTACAAATCTCTGTCACAGGATATGGATCCGAGTATGAAGAAGAAAAATGGTCACCAGTCTGAATCGAGGCAGTGGCTGAAGAAAGCAGCGGATGCCGGTAGCGTGGCAGCCAGCTACGAGTATTGGAAGAACAGTCTCAATGACAGTGTAAGTCAGGCCATATACTCTTACCCTCATCATATGATGCCACTTGCTCTTTTCCACCATAATCTTAGGCATGCCCTCTATCTCAAGATTCAAGCTATACGTAACTACATTAAAGTTGCTCAAGCATAGGTATATAGAGGGCAGCACATGGACATACATGTATGCACAGGAGCGTAATACCCATTGGCTCAGTGTTCTATAGTGATTGCCAAATTGCCTACTTCACGAACGACTATATACCCAGGCATGAACATCTCTAACATTAATGGAAGGGTGGGGGACGTTGGCCGTTGTTAGGTAGGGCAGCCTCCAGTTTACCATAAGCAAGCCACAAATATAAACAAATTCATGACATATCTTGTAAAACTTTCTCTGTCATGAAGTTGATTACATTAGTCTGTCGCAGTCACTTTCGAACGTGGGTCATCTTCGTGGTGTCAATTAGTCTGGACCTACATGTAATCCTAACTCTAAATTTCTAAACCTAACCTAAATCCCAATCTCAACCAGAGTCCTAATTCTCTACGTTCAGCAAAATGTAGACTGGATTAAATGTAGGAGCAGTTGTAGAATACCATAAAAACCATTCCATAATTATGTTGTATGTCTGCCTTAGGTTTTGAAAGACAAAGAGAACAGAATTTACTCTCAAAGTGAGCAAAAAATGAAGCTTTATCATGACAATACTAGTAAATCATTTGTGTTGTCAGCAGATGGGTAAGAACTCTATTGAATAATGACACTAAATTTGTCTATATTTGACTTATTTTGTTCTCTCCCTATCTCCATCTTTATAGACTAATGACCATGCAACTAATCTGAACATTCTACGTCAACTCAGGGAATTCGCATCTCAGGGCTGTTTGGAAGCAAAGGTGAGTAGAGCATTATTCATCTACATACTGTATAAGATGAATTTGATGTTATAGAAACACCAACATTGCTTGCATGTAATCTTCAATTAATATTGACAAGGCTGTTTAAAAAAATCTGAATGATACATGCGGAGGAATAATAAGATGTTATAGAATGAAGGGGAAAGAAGATTTTAATAATCAGCCATGTTTTTCAGAAATTAATTTTTGTAGTGCAGACAGGTAAGAAGAGCTTCCATCGCAGGAACCTAAAATGCACAGTTATTGATCATCAAAGTAGTAAATCCAATTTTAAGAGTCGAACCTCCGGTCATGATGATCATGATATTGCTTTTTGTATCTTTTGGTGCGTGGTTTTGAATTGTTCATTCATTTCTTAAAGCCCCACTGCACTACTTATAATTACTTGCGCCCTCTATATAGCAAACAATGCCCTATCGGTGACCATTGGTCCCCCATGATCCTCATTTTCTTATCTTAATTGAGAGCTGAGTTGATAAAGTAACCATCTGTCAGTGACTATTCAGGAAGTTTTAATCCCTCCTGGCCAAACTAGTGCAGTGGGGCTTTAAATCCATCTTTAAAGTAATCCATATATTTCAATTATTTCATACTTCATCTTCATTCTTTGATTGTCCGTCTGTCTGTCTCCCCCTACAGTTGCGTTTGTATTCAGAGTATGCCAAAGGCAAGCTGGGAGGTGTGTCTCAGTCCCACGCCAGGGAAGCGATGAGGGGCTTTGTGAAAGAATCTCAACCAACCAAAGTCAACACGTTACTCAGGTCCAAGAACGGACTCAATAGTGCAATGAGGTAAAGAGACCTGGATAATTAACAAAAAATTAGCAGAATCTAAGAGAGTTTCATGTGTCATAAAGCATTAATTAGATGGGTCTGTTCTACAATCTAATGGGTACTTATTTTTTGTGGGAGTAAGACGTGAACACATTATTCAGGTTCCAGAATGGACTCAATAGTGCAATGAGGTAAAGGGGGGAGGATACTTGAATTTTGTATAGAAGAAATGAAGAGAGTTTCATGTATCATCAAGCCATTTTGTAGCCGAGTCCGTCCTACAATGTCATGATAATTGTATCCGGAGTGATGCCATTAGCCATAGTCATAGGTAGGGCATCTGTAATAGTGTATGGCATCACATTTGTTGTGTTTTGTCAAGTTTGTTGACTAAACACTTGAAGACTTGGCTCTGAGTGATTTGATTGTACTGTATGATGAATTTCAAGAGACTGACATATATTTAGCTAGTGATGAAAATTCCTTGTCGTGTTATTTCTATGGATCCCTGCAGTCAAGGCTATATGCATTTGACAGGCTTCTGTTATGGTACCCTTTTTAACTTCAGTATCCACATGTGCAAGTTTCTGTGTAATGATTGGAAGCAAGACTTGAATCGTCAGGTGGCAGTAGCAGGAAAGGGAACTTCTTTTTTAATCTAAAGGGTATAATGAAAATGAGGAAGATATTGTTACAACTTACAGATCTATAAATCATCCTGGCATATTTTTCTTGTCTTTCAGCAAAGTTTGATCTCCATAATCACAGTCATCACGTTTAATATGCGAATTTTCTCTCTTGAATCTGTTCTTTGCAGATACATCTTAGTCGACTGGCTAGTAGAAGTCGGCAGCATGAAAGACTACTCGTGTTTGACCATCCACAGTGCTGTCCAGCTGGTTGACCGTTACCTCATGGCCAGGAACATCTCCCGGTCAACGCTGCAGCTGGTGGGCATCACGTGCATGGTCATTTGCTCAAGGTAATTCAAGGGTGATAGTTTTTCAGACAAAATGGAGTTGTCTTGGTGCATAGTGGCTCATTCACTTGACTCTCAACCCAAGGGTTGAGGGTTCAAATCCCAGCCAGGCACCATCATCCTTTGGCAAGGGACGATGGAGGACGCTACATATTTGGCCGGGGTAATAACTCAAAGTGGAGCACCCACAACGTCATGGCTGATAGAGATGTACGATATAAGAAGCCCCCATTATAATGAAAGCATATTCAGTTTAGACTAGCACTTGTTCTTCCAAGGTTTGGCTTGAATTTGAATGTTTAATGTACATCAACATGTAGGTATCTTGTCCAAGTAATGGCTTTTTCAAATGACTGAGTACTTTTAGTACTGTTGTAGAACCATATTTTTATTTTTATATTAATTGAAAAGAGAGAGAGAGATATAGAAACACTGTTCAACTTGCATGTAATAAAAGGCAAACTGTTGCAATAATTTGCTAGGACTGGTTGAATGAAAATCTCATCATCTTGTACCTCGCTTTCACCTTCATCACAGGTTACTAGAAGATGACATCATTACAATCCGTGAGGCCGCATGGCTCACAGACGGTACCTACAAGTACGAGGACGTGGTTCGCATGCTGGGAGATGTGGTAGCAACACTCAAGGGTAATCTGAGGGTAAGGACATGTTTGCAATATATTAAAAGGAGTGTAGCTTGGCAAATACTGGTTAACGCAATCTATGTCTTCTTTTGGACAGCTGCACTTAAATGAACGGACTTGATTAACGATAGTCAGTGACTTAATCTCTACATGGTCAGTGTTCGCGAAGCAGACCGAAGTTCTCCTCACGCTTCGGTTTTGCGTATGTCGCATGCACCTGATTGCTGTGGTCGCGTCGTACGTAGTGGTATTATACCCGATTGGTCCCGAGTCAGGCCACAGAAAAGACACGTAGTCTCACCAGGCTACACTTCCTTTAATATTGACCCTCTGAACTGATTTGAACATTCACTGTACTTCATCTTTGTTTCACTAGTCAATGTACATGTAGTATGTTTGGTTAAACGAAGCATTAAAGCAAACAAAAATTCTAGAATGGCAAGTAGATAGCCAGAATTGAACAAAAGCAAAAAGAAATGGAGAACCCTGAGAAATAGAATCATGGGCATCGTTTCACAAAACCGTCCTGAGGACAAGTTCTTGTCTTCCCATTAAATGCATGTTTCTGTGGGATGGAGGTGAACACAGGGAGAAAGAGCAAAAGAGAGGGACAATTAGGAAGGAAGGAAGGAATGAGAGAAAACAAGAGAGAGAGAGAGAGAGAGAGAGAGAGAGAAGGGGGTGGGTAAATTAAAATGAGAGTTATACAGATATACAAATAAATTGTTTCAGATTTTATATTTTTATGGTCAGTAGATACATGTATGAGGCATTTAGAACGGTAACTTTAGCGAGAACTATAACCATTCAATCATTTTCTGTTTTTTGTTTTGATATGGTTTTTTCCCCACAAGGATGTAGAATTTTTTCTAATTTGTTCCTTTGACCAACTACAGGAGCTGACAATCTTAGACTACCTCCATCTCTTCTGCCAAGTGGTATCAGCGGACAGTAAGATGGAGTACCTGGCGTTGTACATCAGTGAGCTCTCTCTACTCCATGCTGACTTTGGCCAGTACTCCAGGGCTCTTATCGCTGCCTGCTCTCTCTTCCTTGCACGGCTTGTTCTCGGTGCAGGTAATTATTTTGGATTAAAATTATTATTACAGTGAAACCTGTCTAATGAACACCCAAGGGAGACAAGAAAAAAAAAAGGTCTTTATGTACAGGTTCCTTTAGTACATGTTTCAATGAGAAGCCATTTTCAAGGGAAACAAAACATGTGGTCTGTGTAGACAGATGGTCTTTCTATACAGTTGTTCACCAAAGCAAATTTGACTATTGTTATTATTTGTTTTTAAATATTTGTTTTAACTAAAGCATTGGGATATTGTTGGTACTTTAAGTCTAAATGATGAATGCTCAATGCTCATACCACAGGCTTCATATTCCTGTATCTTGTAACACAGAGCTTAGTGACCCGTAAGTTCATGTAACACAGAGCTTAGTTACCCGTAAGTTCATGTAACACATAGCTTAGACCCGTAAGTTCATGTAATTTAGGATCTTTGTTGAGTGCAGTTGCTATTCATTTACACGTTACAAACAAAAATGCAGTTTACCACTTTGTTTCTGAACGAGCCATTAAGGTTCATCCCTGCTTGTTTGTCACCTTTCCAATGATTTTAAATTATTATATTTTGTTCTCTCTTTGCAGACTTTCCGTGGCCCACTCCACTAGTTGAACATACCGGCTTTGAAATTTGTGATCTAGTACAGTGCACATTGCACCTTCATAACAAATGGTTAGTCTCATTAAATTTTTTTGTAAGGCATGAGAATCTCCCGCATTTCCATGATTTCCAGTTTTGTTGAAGCCCCCTCCCCCCCCCCCCCCAAAAAAAAAAAAATAAAAAAATTGCCAAAATTTTCTGGATTATTTCCACGGTTTCCTGTTTTTTTAAAAACCCTGCCAGGGGCTCTGGACCCGTGTTGTATGCCTTTGGCTCCGTTTGATCATATTATAAGAGATATTTATAATTTCCATTTTTTTCAACAAACTCCATTCTCATTTCATTTGTTGTGGAAGATGGTACTTTTGAATTTAAAAAGTGCAGTGATCCAATATTTCCCCAGAAACAAAAGCATTGAAGTTTATTATACATGTACACTATAAATTAACACAACAGTAGACTACTTGACGCACCTGAGGGAGTTGCGTAGAATACAGCCCACATGGCTACCCCAGTCCAAATTGGGTTCTGTGCACCATGTTTTATGTTTTTCTTTGATTTCTTTATTAGCTTTTTATTCTTTGTTAGCCTATATAATGCTGGGTAAACCTTTTTTTAGCTTAATGTAATACATTCTGTACACAGATTATCTCTTTAGGTGATTGAATGTGCACTTTAAAGTTCATTTTGAATGATCTGTTTGGAGTATTCGTTTGTGCCACGTCTATTATTGCTGTGTAAATATCTTTCTAAATGTACTATGGAATTTTATTTTAACTGTTCTGCGTAAACGTTATGCTTTTTGATGTAAATATGTTCATGATTATTCAGGGCCACATGGAAGACCACTAATTATTGGTGAATGTACTATCCTGACAAAAGATTAGAAATAAATAGATAAATAAATAAACAAACCTGCTTTACCAACCAGTTTCCTGGATGACCCCGTCAAAGACCACCGTGACGTGACCTTGGCAGCAGTCAAGCAGCGCTTCTCAGAGGACCTCTTTCTAAGGGTCGGTGAGCTGGACATCATGGTTCACCCGACGCTCAGGACCATGCTCTGCGTGGAGGAGGACGAGGAGGTGGTCGATGAGGAGCCGGCAGACGTGAGCAGGGACGACTCGATGCCTTCCAGCAAGGATGGCATGGATGCTTTCCTCCTCATGTCGCCGTCTAGAAAGTCAAGAGGACAGATGTAAGAACAAAGAACTTCATCTGGAAAATGTTTTGTCAAGCCTTGTATGGCAATCCAACCTTTGTAATAAGTTCATTTCTATGAAAGCAGAAAAATAAGGGGAACAGACTAGTTAAAAGTTTGAAATAAATCAGACCAGTAAAAGAGTCATGTATGTTTGAAATATGAGATCACTAAGTCTACCAAATTTCAAATTGGCAAGTTGGTCAGTGTCTTCTAGCTAGTCTAAATATTTTATGGATAGCATATATATTAGTTTATAGTTCCTCTAAAAAGAAACAACCCTTTGAGTGATACATTTTGAAAAATTTACTTTATAGTCATTTTGTGTCTTGAAATAAATGGGAAGGTTGTTCGGCACTACGTCTGTTTGACATTACCGATTCGGCCAATTAGATGTTATATATCTGCTTTCTTTTATAGCAGTATGCTACTAAGTTAAGATTTTCCTTTAAAATGTGATGTGTCATCATGACAAAATGTTGTTTAATGTTTGCAATATGATCTTCAGGGTTTGTCGTACTCGAGTCGTATTTAACGATTGTAACAATAACAATGAATTCTGTAATCAAGTTTGCCTAACGGTTTCTTTCATTTACAGGAAGCCCAATGCAGCAGAGTATTTGCATGATGACCGCAGCGACCGCGTTTCCACGCCGACCCACGAGTTTCCAGAGGACGAGGAGCCATGGCTAGGTGTAGATGTTGTTCCCTTTGATATCAGTGACTCAGATATCAATCCGCAGATAACTGGTAAGCTTTGTGACTGTCGTGGTAGCCTTGTGATCCTGAGCTTGTCAAACTAGATTTCTTTGTCATATGTGTTTTTATATGGATTGGTTCATAATTTGTAGTGTGCAACATTTCTGCTCTATCAAAATTGTAATAGTAATTAGAAATAGTTTAGGTCTGAGACCGCTTTTTTTCTAGGTTAAAAATATGCAAATAATAAACGGGGGGGGGGGGGGTGGTGGCAGCAAGATTTTGTTTGATGATCAGATGGAACTTCTTTCTTCTCCACCTTGTTGTTTTTGTTCTTCTTTTCCTTCAACTATACTGCAAATATAAAGTGTATTATATAATTTTAAAAGAGCTAACTTGAATTCCTTTCTTGTTCTTATGCTCATTCAGACAAACCACATGAGGAAGCTCAACCTAAGAATGACGGCAGGGACCACGTTGCCACCAGGTCCTCTGCCTCATGGGTCGTACTAGACGAGAGCCAGTCTGTGTCTGTGAGAACCAGAACATCAACTCCAACGGCGTCATCCAAAGGCCTCTCGTTGACGACTCGAGACATACCCAGCACCAGTAACTGCTTCCTACCTCTATCTACCGCCCTCTCGTCGTCGTCATCATCGCTCAAGGCAAAGAGTCAGGTGACATACACCATCAGCGCCAGCGGGAGGCTGTGTCAGCAGAAGGTCAAGGCCAGGAGGGTCGGGGGAAGTCCCATGAGCAGTAGAAGTAGGAGCGTTCCCCAGTGTAGCAGCCTAAACACCACGCCTTCCAAAACGGTGAGGTACCAGTTCAGGCAGAGGACACCCGTTCAGTCCGTGAAGCGCAAGAGCATGGAAGATTCAAGCGATGAAGGGGCAGCGGGGCATTGAGTCAAATCGGGTCCAATGCCAAACTAACCACGTAACCATCTTTAGGTATTGCGGATATTGTGATTGTCTTAACCCATAGACTACGGAATTATCCCATAGACTTGCATGTAATACAGGAACGACCCGGTTCTGGCAACCAAGTGGTTGTGTCCCATTGATTTAGGGCAGGGAGCAAGAGTGTTCCATGGTACTTGGTGCTAGTAACATTTACACTTGTGAACACAAACTTTTGATCAAACTTGATCGTATTAACAGGTAAGATGATGAAGGAATGGTTTTACTATTAGGCAGAAATTACTTGGGATTAAGTGGTGTTAAATGAAAATAATCTTAGATTCATGGTCAGTATTATGGTTCACGTACTTTTTCTTAGCAGCAGAGAGATTACATGCTTGGGAGTATGAATCTTGTTCCCAAGATGGGTATATTTCAAATCTTTTTTTTTAGCATGACAGCATGTGACCTCTTGAATTAATGAAATCTTTCACCTTGATGCATCTGACTCAGCTCTCGTTTTCTGCTGCTACTCTATATACCTCCTGGCATTATTGGTGTTTTGTTTTATGTGGGTAGATCTAGTACGCTTTCATTGGATATGCTGCACTATATATATCTGCTGAAAGCTAAAATGGTGTAAGGCCTCGTTCAGATTTGACGCGGCTTACCTGCAGTGTTTGTTAAAATGATGTTGTTAAGCATGTGTATTTCACGTTTCTGTACATGAATCTTCTAACACAGAGCTAAGTGAATAGGCGCAGGAGCTTTATTGCACTTGGTTGCCGTTCATTTACACTTACATAAACCGTGGCGGTTTACTGTGTCATATCTGAAAGAGCCTTAAAGGGGAAGTCCATCCTGATATTTAGTTGCTTTTAATTGAGAGAGAAAAATGAGAGGAACAGAGCAAATGGGAGGGGAGCTCGTAAGATACGTCACAGAGTAGCCAATTTGTGTTTGATCGATCGTGAGTTCAAAATTTGTTACTTTTTTATTCAGATAATTGCTCAAACCTTCTCTGACCTGTTCCTCTCATTTTCTTCTTCTATTAAAACCAATTTAATATGAGGGTAGACCTCCCCTTTAAGAGTGTTAAATCTGTGTAATGATATAAGTCAAAACTCTTCCAGTTCTCTCTTAATTCTGTCACTTCAATGATAAAATTTGCATTGTGTTGTAGGAATAAATGTTGTGTAGAAACTAAATGAGTATTCTTACCGATAATAATAATCCTCAGCGTTGATATCTCGAGTATAGAAAGAAACTGGAAGGCGAATCATGGAGAGGAAGAATAGAGCGATAAAGCGAAGTGAAGAATCAGCACGTGGAGCGCGACTAGCTAGCTAGCGAAACGCGAATATGATGAAGGCACACAACCTTACAGTTCACACTTCCCGAAATTAAATAGAAGACAAATCTAATTTGCGATTTAGTCCTCAAATAAAATGATGATGATGAAACTCGCTATTAACGTGGAAACTAATGAGAAGAAGCCTGTTGAATAATCCGAAAACGTCCTATATAAAACACGTCCGATGATGAAAACTGAAGACAGGAGAAGTGAGTAAAAACCGTGTGTGGAGACTTATCCAAGTGCGCTAAAAGTGTGATGATTGGCTTATTAAAACAATAAGGTGCGATCCGATTGGAGTAACTAAAATAACACTCTTGTTGCTGGGTGGTTCCATGGATGAAATTAACTCAGAGAATATGTAGAATGTGCAGCTGTAAATTGTTATTGTTATTGAAGCTGGCTGAACGTAAAGTACTAACAAAAGGAATGTTTAAAATGCTGGCTATGTACAATGTTGATAAACATTTGTGACCTTTGTAAAGTTCAAGTCACTACATCTAGCACCCCCCAAGAGTGATGCGAGATAGAATGAGTAGCAATCGATAAAATGGTACTGTCCAAAATACATGTAGAAGAAATATATTTACAGCAAATACATATGAGACGATGTCGCAACAATCGCAATAAGCTTGAATCCAAGATGGCAATATAATTGTCTTCATCCATAACCAAAACATTCCACGTAGCGTGCTGGCCACCTGACATGCCGGCCGGATCGCGTCTTTCGCGGCTCGACAGGCGGGGTAGAAGCAGAGCTTGGCAGTCGATCTGCGACCAACGATGATGGGGGATCTACGCGTGGAGGCCGAACCATGGTCGATGATGACGGGATATCGTCGTGTGGTGGTGCGATCTCCGGAGTTGCGCAATCCTCTAAAAATGCAGGCTTTAAACGTTCTACACTGACGTTCTCACGCTTACCATTAATGTCAATGGAGAAAAACTTGTCAGTACGGCGGAGAACTGGGAATGGACCCCTGTAGGGCGGTTCTAGGGGTTTCCTGACTGCATCTTGGCGTAGAAATACATGGCTAGCAGAATGAAGGTCAGCATGAATCTGGGTACTAGCATGTCGTTGTTTGCGAGGAGGGGTGGGGCGTAGCTTACTCATCAGCTCTTTCAGTCTATGTACATAGTTCGCCGGATCAATGTCTGTGTCTGGCTTCGTCGGTTCTACGAATTGGGCAGGCAACCTAATGCTTGTCCCAAACACCAACTCAGCCGAGGAGCATCCAATGTCGGACTTGACAGCTGTGCGTATCCCCAATAGTACAAGGGGCAACACTTCAGTCCAGCGTACAGTGTTATATGTCTTGATCGAAGCTTTGAGCTGACGATGTAGGCGTTCTACTAACCCATTCGAGGCTGGATGATATGAAGTCGTCCGAATACGAGTAGTGCCGAGTAGGTTGGTGAGGGCGAGGAAAAGGGCGGACTCGAACTGTCTCCCCCTGTCTGTAGTGATTGTTGCCGGTGTGCCAAAATTCGCCACCCATCTGGCCACAAAAGTCCGTGCTACCGTCTCCGCAGTAATGTCCGGGATCGGAATAGCTACTGGCCATCTGGTAAAGCGATCAACGCAAGTCAAAAGATAGCTATTACCTTCCGAAGGAGGAAGTGGACCCACGAGGTCTATATGAACATGCGAGAATCGAGCATCTGGGGATGCAAATGTGCCCAAAGGTACTCTGGTGTGTCGATGAACTTTACACTTCTGACACTCCAGACAGGTACGCGTCCAGTTCCTGATGTCGCGCTTGATTCCCGGCCAAATGAAACGCTCTGTTATCACCTTCTGAGTTGCTCTAGCACCAGGGTGTGATAATCCGTGGAGTGAATTGAAAATTGTTCTCCTATGCGAAACTGGCACTAGAGGCCTGGCACTCCCAGTGGAAATGTCACAAAGCAAAGTGGTGAGTGTGCCTGGAAGTGGTATCGACTCAAGCTTGAGCGAAGTGTCTGACAAGTCGGCAAACTCCTCATCATCCTTCTGTGATCGAGCTAAGGCAGCAAAATCGACAATGGAAGTTGAGTCGACGGCACTGATAGGCAGGCGAGAGAGGGCGTCGGCTGCAGTGTTGTGCTTACCACTGATATGACGTATATCAGAGGTGAACTGTGAGATGAGATCTAGGTGTCGAATCTCTCGGGGTGAGTGTCTGCCCGGCTTAGCCTGCAAAGCGTAGGTGAGGGGCTTGTGATCGGTGAAGATGGTGAAAGTCCGGCCTTCGAGCATATGGCGGAAATGTCTCACGCTCTGGTAGGCAGCGAGCAGCTCGCGTCCAAACGTGCTGTACCGAGTTGCTGCCGGCTGGAGTCGCTTGGAAAAGAAAGCGAGTGGCTGCCAAGTGTTGTCCACTAACTGTTGGAGCACTCCACCTACACCATAGTCTGATGCATCGACGAGTAAACAGAGAGGAACTCCAGATCGAGGGTGCACAAGGATAGAAGCGTCAGCTAAGTCCTGTTTAGCTCGATTAAAAGCTAAGAGCTCAGCTTCATTGAGTGTGATAGACTCTTTCTTCTTCTTCCTGCCTTTAAGTAGATCTGTCAAAGGTTGGAGCACATCAGCACAGTGAGGAATAAAACGTCTGTAAAAGTTCATGAGACCAAGAAATTCTCTCAGTGTAGTGAGTGAAGTTGGAGTAGGGAACTTCCGGATGTGTTCCACCTTGTCGTTGAGAGGACAGATACCATGCTGATCCACGTGGTGGCCTAAGAAAGTCAATGAAGATACACCAAACTGACACTTGGAAGTGTTGATGACAATGCCATACTCACGAAGTCGATCAAAAAGTAGGCGGAGGTGTGTCACATGTTCGTCATCCGTAGTACTAGCAACGAGCAGGTCGTCGAGGTACACAAAGACAAAAGGGAGACCACGAACAACTTCATCCATCAGCCGTTGAAAAGACTGAGCAGCGTTTCGAAGTCCAAAGGGCATGCGAACCCACTCGAAAAGTCCGAATGGAGTGGTTATTGCAGTCTTTGGGATATCACACGGCTCGACTGGGATCTGGTGATAAGCACGAATTAAATCAATCTTAGAAAAAATCGTCTTACCACTGAGGCAGGATGAGAAATCTTGTAGGTGGGGTATCGGGTAACAATCAGGAGTTGTCCGAGAGTTGAGGGCGCGGTAATCCCCACAAGGTCGCCAGTCACCTGGGGTCTTCTTTGGGACCATATGGAGTGGAGAAGCCCAATTACTGTCCGAAGGGCGAATAATGCCCAGGTCTAACATGTGGTCGAACTCGGCCTTAGCTACTCTAAGACGATCAGGAGCGAGGCGCCGAGGACGAGCTGCAACAGGGGGACCTCGTGTCTGGATATGATGAGTAGTCCCGTGCTTCACACCGTCGGGCTTGTATACCGGGCGAGTAATGTCCTGGTAGCTGCGGAGGAGAACGTGAAAGCGGTCATCAGAAACCCCTCTCACATACATGGGACTGATAGTTCCAGTGTAGGAGCCGAATCCACACACACTAAGATTGGTTTTAGTGTCGATCAACCTGCGATGTTTCACGTCGACGAGTAAACCAAAGTTAGTAAGAAAATCCGCTCCTAATATAGGCGTCTTCAAATCCGTGACAATAAAAATCCAGCGAAACACTCGTCGCAACCCAAGATCCAAAGTAAAAGATCGCTCACCGAAAGTGTTGATCGGCGAATGATTGACTGCTTGAAGTTGGATCTTCGACGCTCCGACCGATGAAAATTGAGATTTCTCCAACAGTGACTGGGGAAAAATACTCACTTCGGCTCCTGTGTCAACCAGGAAACGCTTGCCTGAGTTCTTATCAAAAATGAAGAAAAGACGACTATGAGGTTTGTCGCCAAGGGAACTTGTCGCCGCTATTCCTTGGCTAGGTCGTTTCCCTGAGGGTATGACTGCGAGGTTGAAGGTGTCGAATGCGATGTCGAATGTCGGCGGCTGGACGAGCACGGGCTCACACACTTGCGAGCTCTGTCACCATAAGTCCAGTGATACCAGCACTCAGCTCCTTGATGATGCTGTTGTCTCCGTGGACTCTTAGAGCTGGAAGGACGTCGAGGTGGATGAGATGCACCTCGATGCTGACTTCGACTACGACGATCCTCCTGGAGGGAAGAAGTCAGAGCTTGCACCTGTGCTGTGAGTTGTGTGACTTGCCTGGAAAGCTGTTGAACCTCCGCAGAAACTTGTGGCGGTGATGAGGAAACAGTAGTACTAGCAGGCGTGCACTCTACAGCAGACACAGAAAATGGGGAAGAAATCTCCAAGATTCTATCCGCCAACTCCGCCAATTGTTCGATGGAGACAGAGTCGGATGACGAAGCAAGAATAATTCTGACATTATTCGGTAGGCGTTGTAGAAAAAGCTGCTTCAAAATCCCTTCCTCTAAAGTGGATTCTCCTAGTAGTTGCCGCATTCTACGAAGAAGTTGAGTAGGCTTGCGGTCACCTAACTCTTCCGCATTAAGAAGCTGGTGAATTCTCTTCTGTTCGGAAACGCCAGTTCGTTTGACGAGTTCAGATTTCAGTTTGTCATAGCGATCCTTAGCCGGGGGAGCAATGATGAAGTCCCTGACCTCCTGTGCTACTTCAGGCTGTAATGAGCTGATGACATGTGCAAATTTAGTCTCTTGTCGCGTAATAGCCCGCGTCAAAAACTGCGCCTCCACCTGGGCGAACCAGAGTGCCGGATCGCCCGGCCAGTACGGCGGTAACTTGAGTCCAAAAGCAGTAACAGCTGGCCCGGTACTGCCCGGTGCCGTCGCGGCCGCGGCGGGGTCGGAGTCGGGCATTTCCGTTGACGGTGATGTCGTCGTCATCATACACACAAAAGAAAATATCGCTCGTAGAAGAACAAAAAATTCGGGGTCACCAATGTAGGAATAAATGTTGTGTAGAAACTAAATGAGTATTCTTACCGATAATAATAATCCTCAGCGTTGATATCTCGAGTATAGAAAGAAACTGGAAGGCGAATCATGGAGAGGAAGAATAGAGCGATAAAGCGAAGTGAAGAATCAGCACGTGGAGCGCGACTAGCTAGCTAGCGAAACGCGAATATGATGAAGGCACACAACCTTACAGTTCACACTTCCCGAAATTAAATAGAAGACAAATCTAATTTGCGATTTAGTCCTCAAATAAAATGATGATGATGAAACTCGCTATTAACGTGGAAACTAATGAGAAGAAGCCTGTTGAATAATCCGAAAACGTCCTATATAAAACACGTCCGATGATGAAAACTGAAGACAGGAGAAGTGAGTAAAAACCGTGTGTGGAGACTTATCCAAGTGCGCTAAAAGTGTGATGATTGGCTTATTAAAACAATAAGGTGCGATCCGATTGGAGTAACTAAAATAACACTCTTGTTGCTGGGTGGTTCCATGGATGAAATTAACTCAGAGAATATGTAGAATGTGCAGCTGTAAATTGTTATTGTTATTGAAGCTGGCTGAACGTAAAGTACTAACAAAAGGAATGTTTAAAATGCTGGCTATGTACAATGTTGATAAACATTTGTGACCTTTGTAAAGTTCAAGTCACTACAGTGTCATTTGGTATCAAATTTGTATTTTGCTGCGATAACACAATTTTTTGATATACATGTATTGTATTCCTTTCAAGGAAATTCATCATTTAATTATATTGTTCTCAAATGTTTTGTACCGTGACGTGTTGTCAGAGTTGCCTAATTCTGAGTTTTTGTGATGCTGAAGATTTATCAAGGCTACCTGAATGTATGATTTTCATTTTGATAGATTAATTTTTTATTTTTATACTAGCTCTCTTCTTTCATCCTATGTGCAGGTGTATCAATGTATGCTCTTTCATTTGATGAGTTTTTATTTTTTACAGTCTCAGGAATGTTTGGCTTTGCACAAAGAGAGCTTTCATATCATTTTGCATTCATATAAAGAGGATTGGAACGTTCTGTTCTAAACAAATGACACTGAAAGTTCTTAGCAGAGGTCATCAACAATTTCTAGGTCATTTTTTATTTGTAAAGAATAAAGTTACATTGTGTGTACATACAACATCTGTAGTGGAGTTATCAAACAATTCAAATATGGTAGATTGACTCTAGAAAGGTGTAGGAACAAGATGTGGTCGAAGCTCAAAGTCTCTTGTTGTTCGAGTCCAGGGGGTGTTTCACAAAGCCTCTTTTCAACGACAAAAATCAGTGACAAATCTGCTGATAACCAATCAGAAGCAAGGATTTCAGTAGCTTATAACAAATACTGTCATTTGTCACTAATGACATTTTGAAGCATATATTTCAAACAAATGTGTATAATGACAATTTTACAAATAATTTTGATTGAGAATGAATTACATTCACTGATTTTCAACATCTTATTTCAAATTCAAACCAGCCGCCAATTTTTAAACATCGAAAATTCAAATCTGTCCAATTCACATGTTAAAACCCCTTGTGGTTCAACTGGATGTTTTGATTTTTTGGGTGGTCACAAATACTTTGCTTACCAAACGAGTTGTTAAAGCTTATCAGTACTAGTTCATAGGAGGGATTAGACTGCCCTGCAAGGTCACTGGACAGGTGGCTATCTCATCAACACAGCTCTCAGTTAATATAAGAAAAAGAGGATCATGGGGGACCAATAGTCACCGATTAGGCATTGTTTAATATAGAGAGGGCCCAAGTAGCTACAAGTAGTGCAGTGGGCCTTTAAAAGCTGTGTCGACAACAAATAATTTGAAATTGGCTCAGATCCTACAGAACAGAATTAAAGTCCATAAATCAACTGTTGGTCATACATCTGTTTTCACACTAGTCAATATATTGAGATTTTGGTTGCTCAATGAAGTGATGATCTTTTGAACAACCAACTATATTTCCTATCTGGACATCTACCTCCTTTAAAAAAAGTTTCATAGTTTGTTAAAGAACTTTTTTAAAAGAAAAACCAACTGTCCTTTTTTTGAGGACTAATCCACCCCATGATAACAAATTTAAAAGGCCTTCTGTACTAGTTTAGCTAGGATAAATTAGACCACCCAGGGTGGTCACTAACAGGTGGCTATCTCATCAACTCAGCTCTCAATTAACATTAGAAAAAGAGGATCATGGGGGACCAATGGTCACCGATTAGGCATTGTTTTCTATATAGAGGGAGCAATCAGCTACAAGTAGTACAGTGGGGCTTAAAAAGAAAAGAAAATCACAATTATTGCATTTGAGCCTTACCATTTGGCAAACATACAATGCTCATCTGATGTCATATTGTGTTGTTTCGTATACTTTGGTTAGGCTTATAATACATTGATTACCTATTTTCATGTGTGTGCGCATCTATGTTCCACCAATCATTCATATGGCACCGAACATTGCATTATTCATCATTAATCTTTGTGTTTCAGATCAGAAATACAATATTTTGTAAAGTTTTGAGAAGAAGATTTTTCTGTTAAATGAGGAAAAAGAAGAGATTTTATTAGCATTCCATATCAATTTTACATTCCAGATGTTGAGTGCTTAATCAATCCGTATCAATGGTGCTTTGTGTGTGTGGCGGACGACGACTTTGAAGTACAAATCATTGGGCTTAGTGACTTTCGATTAGCACAATCATTATACATCGAATTATGAACAGACGCAAATGTCAAATGAAGTGTATGTATTGTACTAAAGACTTGTAAATTTTTTTGATATTTGCTCAAGAAATTCATTTGATATCTATCTAGTTGGCACAAATTATGAATTGACTGAATGACCCTTGATTTTGATAGAGTAAAATCAGTCTAGAGAGTACAACAGTAATCGACATGAACTTCCAATGTTTACTTGAATGATACTTATGATTAATAAATGGACATTAATGTACTGGAGTTGTTCAATTCGTTCAGTTCAGTATTGGAATTAATCTAATTCAAAGACATTGTATACAGTTTATAATTGCAAGCATATTCTTCATAAATGTTTTTTATGTGTATTCTCTTTATATTAATGTATTTGAATAAGAATTGGGATGTAAATTATTGAAATATAAACGTATACAAATTCATGATGCAAAAATTAGCATTGTGTTATTTTCACATGAAATACTGATTCTTCGAGATTTGTCTTCTCTTTTAAATGTATTTCAGTTCAGTAACAAAAGAATTATGATATGCTCAATATATGTTTCTACTTGTAATATTACGAAAACAAATATTCAATCAGCTGTGAATATGTTTATTTTCTATGTAAATATTGCTTTATGCAATCACTATGTGCCTTAAAAAGTTCAAAGAAATTGAAAATTTAGAGAGAATTTATTTTTTCTTCATCTTTATTTCGTATTTCTTTTCTTCTTTTGTTTTTGTAAAGAAAAGGAAATATCTTTTCAAAAAGTGTCAACATTTCTTTATCATTTTGATTCAGACCAGGCAAAATCTGCTGAAATTGTAAATAAGCATTTTACTTTTCTCTTTTTGCTTTTAAGTTTGTAACTTGTACGATCACTTGGAAAGTACTAGAGAAAATGGTACTACATGTCTTTGTTACTTTTTAAAAATTTGCTATGACTTTTGTACAAGTTATTATATTATGTACCTATGCAAACTCGGCCATGTGATGGCCTTTCATTATTATCTTCCAGCATTAGTTTATGTTTTATGTATATTCAGTACCTGTGCCTTTTTTTTCTAAAGATGAAATTAAAAAGGTGCACTTTTCTTCATTATACCGAAAAGCGAATCAATTCTGTATATTTTCTATGAATATTGTGACCTTTTTTCATAACTAAAGTCTAAAAGTGGATGCAACAAGAATACATGAGTTTATAAGTTATATTGATGGAAAGAGAGAGAGAGAGAGAGAGAGAGAGAGAGATAAGGTCTTCTACCATATCTAGTTTGATGGATAGTACACGTGAATGTTGTGAATTACATATATGATGATGATGATGACCGAAGAAGTTCGATAACGAATGTTGATTGTTTATGATGGTGATGATACTGATGATGACGATTTGACAGACAATTTTAGACCGAAGTGAAGAACAGTCGATCATCTTCTACCGTGAGGTAAAATTTCGTTTGTTAATTAACACGACGATGTGATGCTACGTTCATAACATACTCGACCTAAAAATCAGTCTATTTGTTCTGGGATATGTAAATGTTTATAAATACACATACATGTAGTATACTATGCCAGATTTTGCGTCAACAGCCCAAACATCATAGGCACTGGCAGAACAGAAGCCTCCGGAAGAAAAAAAATCCGCTATTTGGAAAGCCTACTTTTCACTTCTAGACAATCTCAATCTAGACATAATTTGCTCATTAGGTACAAGCCCCATAGGCTTCCTTCGCTGACAATTAGGTAAGTCGTAATTTTCTGACGACAGGCCCATTATGGCGCCATTATGAAACTGCGAGGAGGCTGTTATTTAACAAGCAATTATCATTATGATAATCTATTTCAGATCTTAAGGCAAAACATACACAAATGAACATCATTAATAGCGGTTTAACCTACGTCATCAATCTGACATAAAAGCAAAGTTTGGAGTTCGTCAATGTGAAAACAATCGCCCATACAAACTGAAATCATGACCGAACTGCCCTAAGAGTGGTTGCGAGGCAATTAATGGGGCTTATATACAAAAAGAGAGAAGATTGAAATCTGAAAACAGTGTTGGATCATAATTATGTTGATCAGCGTTTGCTGCCTTTTTCTGGTACTAACGGCGAGTCAAAGAAGGAAGAGAAAGAAGACGAAGAAGAAGAAGAGGAAGAAGAAGAAAAAGAAGAAGAAGAAGAAGAGAAGAGGACTCGAGAAGAA